TACTAAAAATACAAAATTAACCAGGCATGGTGGTGGGCAACTGTAATCCCAGCTACTCAGGAGGCTGAGACAGGAGAGTCACTTGATTTAGGAGGTAGAGTTTGCAGTGAGCCAAGCTCACAACACTGCACTCCAGCCTGGGTAACAAGAGCAAAACTCCTAAAAAAAAAATTGTGAATGTCAGATCCAGCAGGTGAACTTGTCACCAAGGGTTTGTCTTAGACCCAGCCCCCAGAGGGAACTCAGTACCTGTAGGGAGGAAGTTTCTACATCAGTTCCTGTCGTGGTTTTCCTCTAACGTGGTCTTGAGGGTCTCTCTCCAGAGAATGGGTATAGCCCTGTTCTGATGGGGCGCTGGGGAAGGCAGTGATGGATGCTTATCATGTGTCTTCCACAGCATCCTTCTTCCTCCTGGTGTCTTGCCTAATGCCGAAGTGTCCCATGACCTGTGACCAGGTGTCCTCACAGAAAACATGTTGAGATGGGCTGCTGCCCTTGTGGCTCTTGTGTCATCTGTGTCCAGTGTATCCCAACCAAACAGCCACTCTCTAGGAGAGCCCTGACGGGGAGGAGTGAGCACTGGGTTCGGGTGTGTTGGTCAAGTGAGACACAGGAGGCAACTCAACAAAAAACGGCAGAAGCAGTTTATTGCTCACAGATCCCAGAGAGCACAGGGCAGCAGGGCTTGCAGGGCCAATGGGAATGGGAAGCTATTTGGGACATGTGTGCTCAACCAGTGGGATGAGAGAGAGATATATATAAATGGGCTAAAGACTTTATTGGAGGCCAGGCACAGTGGCTCATGCCTGTAATCCCAGCACTTTAGGAGGCTGAGATGGGTGGATCACTTTAAGTCAGGAGATCAAGACCAGCCTTGCCAATACGGTGGAATCCCATCTCTACTAAAAATACAAAAATTAGCCAGGTGTAGTGGTGGGTGCCTGTAATCTCAGCTGCTCTGGGAGGCTGAAGCAGAATTGCTTGAACCCAGGAAGTGGAGGTTCCAGTGAGCCGAGATTTTGCTACTGCACTCCAGCCTGGGCAACAGAGCGAGATTCTGTCTCAAAAAAAAAAAAAAAGGACCCAGTCTTTTTTTTATTGAAGTCCAGGGTGTTCCCTAGCAGGTGTCCCTTGGGGAGTTCTAATTGTTGGGTTTAGCGCAAGTGGGCATGAGTCCCAGGAGGTCACACTGTGCCTAGTCACTGCAGCATCACTGTGCCATCCAGGCAGGGTGTGGGGTCAGTGGGGTAAGTCAGGTAGATTGTCTCCAGCTGTCCCACAGGGAGGGGGTCAGCAGGAGGCAGTTGCATATGACAGATTCCTGGGTTGACCACCCTGAGGGACTGGGAGGAGGTGGAGAAGGGAAACTATGTCAAGAGTTGACTGAGACCTGCTTTTTATATGAGAATGTCTAAAATATTCGAATGGTTGCCCAGGCAACATCAAATTATAGGAATTCACTACAGCTCTGCAGCTGATGTAATGGTATGGTTCAAGGTTCAAGAATTACTTTTTTGAGGGGGCCTAGTGCAGTGGCTCATGCCTATAATCCCAGCACTTTGAGAGACCAAGGAAGGTGGATCACCTGAAGTCAGGAGTTCAAGACCAGCCTGGCCAACATGGCGAAACCCAGTCTGTACTAAAAATCCAAAAATTAGCTGGGTGTGGTGATGGGCGTCTATAATTCCAGCCACTGGAAATGCTGAGACAGGAGAATTGCTTGAACCCAGGAGGCGGGGGTTGCAGTGAACTGAGATCACGCTATTGCTCTCCAGCCTGGGCAACAAGGGCAAAACTGTCTCAGAAAATGATTATTTTTATTTATTTATTTATTTATTTATAGAAAGGATCTCATTTGTTGCCCTGGCTGGGGTGCAGTGGCTCGGCCATGGGTCACTGCAACCTTGACCTCCTAGGCTCAAGCAATCCTCCCACCTCCATGTCCCAAGCAGCTGGGATCACAGGTGTGCACCATCACCCCCGGCTAATTTTTTAAAAAAATTTTGGTGGAGATGGGGTCTCTCTATATTGCCCAGGCTAGACTTAAACTCCTGGGCTCAAGTGATCCTCCTTGGCATCCCAAACAAAGCATTAGGATTACAGTGTGAGTGACCTCACCTGGCCCTGTTATTATTAAAACACAAAGCTGGGGCTCTGAGAGGCAGCCTCGTAGCCCCGGGGTCTCTGAGCATACCTGTCTACTTCTGCGGCCTTGTCTTCAGGTGGGCTGGGGTGTGAAGAGAGAACCTGGACTGGTTGGTGTTGAAATGTCATATCTTCGTAATGATACCTGCTAATTAAGTGATGGCATCAAATGGAATTGGGTTTAGTGGCTCCCATGGCGTCACCCTCTTCTCCATTCTTGTTTTCTCCTCCCACACTAGGACACCCAAAGTCCCAAGTCCAGGAGCAGCCCTCAGCCTGAGGATTCCGACCAGGGCTTCCCCTCAGCCCCATGCACACTGTAGTCATTGACCTGTCATTGAATATTTCATATCACCAAATTCTTTGTATGTGAACCCATCTGGTTCACATTTGCAGGCCTCTTTTTTTATTTATTTATTTTTTTTGAGACTGAGTCTTGCTCTGTTGCCCAGGCTGGAGGGCAGTGGCATGATCTCAGCTCACTGCAACTTCCCGGGAAAGTGATTCCTCCTCCCAGGTTCCACCTCCTGGGTTCGAGTGATTCTCCTGCCTCAGCCTCCCAAGTAGCTGGGACTACAGGCAAGCACTACCATACCTAATTTTTGTATCTTTTGGTGGAGACGGGGGTTTCACCATTTGCCCAGGCTGGTCTCGAACTCCCGACCTCAAGTGATACGCCTGCCTTGGCCTCCCACAGTGCTGGGATTACAGGTGTGAGCCACTGTGCCCAGACTCAGGCCTATTTTAAGAGCCATACCTGGCCAGGCATGGTGGCTTATGCCTGTAATCCCAGCACTTTGGGAGGCCAAGCAGGGCAGATCATGAGTCAAGAGATGGAGACCATCCTGGCCAACATGGCAAAACCCTGTCTCTACTAAAAATACAAAAATTAGCTGGGTGTGGTGGCACATGCCTGTAGTCCCAGGTATTTGGGAGGCTGAGGCAGGAGAATCGCTTGAACCCGGGACGCAGAGGTTGCAGTGAATCGAGATCTTGCCACTGCACTCCAGCCTGGCAACAGAACGAAACTCTATCTCAAAAAAAAAAAAAAAAAGAGCGCTACACCTGCAAGTCATAAACTCCCAGAAAAACACACTGAAGAGGAATTCACAGTCTCAGAGGTTGGTTGTAAATTCTGGCTTTTATAGTCTTTGCTGTGTGACCTCAAGAGCATTGCTTCACCTCTCCAAGCCTCAGCGCCCTCATCCACAAAATGGGGCAGGAACACACTCCTCCCAGGTTGGAGGGAGCCTTAAATGAGGTAATATATCTCAAAGCACTGGGCACATAGCAGGTATTTAAGAAATGCTCATTCCTTTTCTTCTTTTTGCTTTTTCTTACCACCATAGATTCATTTTTCCTTTGGAGAAGGAGAAGAAGATACTCAAAGCTGGGGATCCATTTACTCTTTCATTCTCAACACAAATACTGATTGAGGCCAGGCATGGTGGTTCACGCCTGTAATCCCAGCACTTTGGGAGGCTAATGCCTGAGGTCAGAGTTCAAGACCAGCCTGGGCAACATGGCAAAACCCCACCTCTACTAAAAAACAATACAAAAATGAGCGGGGCATGGTGGCAGGTGCCTGTAATCTCAGCTACTTGGGAGACTGAGGCAGGAGAGTCGCTTGAACCCGGGAGGCGGAGGCTGCAGGGAGCTGAGATCTCGCTGCTGTGCTCCACCAGCCTGGGCGACAGAGTGAGACTCTCACTCTTTCTCTCTCTAGATAGATAGATAGATAGATAGATAGATAGATAGATAGATAGATAGAGTGTTTATCACATACCAGGCGGGACTGCAGCAAGGAACACGATAATCCCTGCCCTTGTGGTGCAGCAAGAGGGTCCAGGCACTGGGGTCAGATGGAACTGGTTTCAAATCCTGGCTCAACCACCTGTCAGCTGCGGCTCCTCGGGCAAGTCATGTTACCTTTCGAGGCTTAGTTTAGGCAATTCTAAAATGGGGACAATACGATATCTCATAGAATACCCAAGAGGAGCAAAGGAAAAGACACTTTTTAAGTTGCTTAATAGTTGTGTAATCAAGAGGTGTGTGTGGGGTGGAGGGGTGAGGATGTCTGGCCAGCAAAAGAGGGTGGAGGCGGTGACCTGGGGACTTCAGGCTTCCAGGATTAGGCCACTTGGGAAGAAAGAAAGAAAAAAGAATGGGAAAATGAAAGAGAACAAACAAGTAAATATGTTTATTTTCTTTTTAATAGAATAGTTGTAGCACAACTATCTTTAATATAATACTTGTAGAACACTTGAATTATAAAACTTACTAATAGAATGAACACTCTTGAACTCACCACCGATATAAGATTACATTAGAAAGTTACCAGTAACTTGCATCTACTTATGCCAGCAGGTCTCTGCCCAGGTTGTACATTAAGCACACCTGGCGAATTTTGGAAAACACTGGTACTGTCAGATGGGATTTGGCGTTTGGTTGAGGCATCTGGATTTTTTTTTAAAGGTTTAGGCATCTGTCTTTTTTTTTTTTGAGACAGTGTCTGGCTCTGTCACCCAGGCTGGAGTGCAGTGCCACAGTCACGGCTCACGACAGCCTCAGCCTCCTGGGCTCAAGTGGTCCTCCCGTCTCAACCTCCGAGTAGCTGGGACTATAGGTACCAACATGCCTGGCTAATTAAAAAAATTTTTTTTAGAAGCAGGGGTCCCTCCATGTTGCGCAGGCTGGTATCTGGTGATTCTCATGCGCATCCAGGTTTGAGAAGCACTAGCTTATATTCTCTTCCCCCTGGTTTTCACCTTCACCTTCAGGTGAAGATAATCACCATCCTGAAATAACGTGTAGTGCACGGACAGATTCTTTGCCTCCATCCTTCCCTATTTCAGACTAGTGACGTTTGCTATTTATCTCCCGCCGACCACGAGGGGGCACCAGAGAAAAACAGTCTCCCTTCGCGCTGAAAGAGGCTTGGCCCTTGTGACGCTCCGTCGTTGGGGGCCGTTGCAGGCGCCACCAGGAAGGAGAGCGCCAGTGTTGCTGTAGGGCGTCTGGGAAGTACGTCCGGGAACTGGCCGGCCCGCTTCGTGCCTGCGGGAACTCGGACCCGGGGACTCTTCGGAAACTCCGAGACGCCGAGAAACGTGAGCCGAGGGATTGGACTCTGCTGGATCCGGCGTTAGGGCGGGGGGCCACAGGGTCCTGAACGCAGGCGGCCCGCGCGGGCGGGAACCGAGGCGGGAGTCCGCGGACGCGAGCTCTGGGCGCTTAGGGTTCTCACTCTGCCCACGGTGTGCTGTGACCCTCTTTGTTGCACGTACCTGTTCAGGTTGAGAGAGGGATGCGACGTATTCGGGGAGCAGCCCAGCTTGTAGGTGGCCAATCCAGGACCGGAATCTTAAACTTTTGATTCTCGATGCAAAGATTGATCCACTGGCGGTTTTACGGGACAGGGAAAAAGAATATGAAGCCTACCACGGTCTCGAGACCGAGGTCACACGTTAGCAGCCGGCCGGCCACATTTGGACCATAGACGCAGAGTGTTTGTCCCCGAACCTGGAGGACCCCGAGTATGAGATTCTTGGCATGGGCCAAGCCTTTTCGTTTATTCAGCAGGCGTTTCTACCCAGGCACTTCGTCGACCCTGCACTTGAAGACAGCTTTTGGGTCAGGGGAGTCGGTGCCTGGAGTGAGACTGCTCTCTGCTTTCAGGGCTCCAGCTGTATCCCTACATTGCTCAGGCAATTCCGCTCTCTAGGTCTCAGTTGCTTCATCTTCAAGATGAAAGATCCGTCCTTCTTGGTAGCCCAAAGCACTTCCGAGTGTTACTTCAGGCTAGGCCCCTCCCCGGGGGCTGTCAGAACCAGGGCATGTTGGTCCCAACAGGCAGCCCCCTTGCAGTGTAGAGAGTCTGGGCGCTGGTCTCAGGGGGACATGAATTAGGATCATGCTTGTTGTTGAGACACACCAGGCTGGAGGGCAGTGGCGTGATCTCGGCTCACTGCAGCCTCCATCTCCCGGGTTCAAGCAGTTCCCCTGCCTCAGCCTCCCAAGTAACTGGGATTACAGGCGCACGCCACCACGCCCGGCTAATTTTTTTTTGTATTTTTAGTAGAGACAGGGTTTCACCATGTTAGCCAGACTTGTCTCGAACTCTTGACCACAGGCAGACTGCTCACCTCGGCCTCCCAAAGTGCTGGGATTACAGGCGTGAGCCACTGTGCCCGGCCAGATCATGCTTTTTTATTTCCTCTAATTCCTGGCTCTGCTATCTTGAGCAAATCACTTCACCTCTTCCAACTTGTTTCCTCCCTGCCAAATAGCAGGGTGATTGTAAGAATGAAAAAATTAATATGTATTGAGTGCTTGGCACACACATGTGTTCCTTACATTATGGTCTCTGTTTAAGCAGAGCATAAATGCCCCTGATGTGCCTAGTAGCAATCTTAGGACAATCCCTGTTCCTGTCTGTTGTGTCCCTAGTAATGGCTGGCCGACAACTGCATGCAGTCCTGACTTTTTGATGTTTTTGCTTTTTTGAAACAAAAAATCACTGTCACCCAGGCTGAGTGCAGTGGCGCTAACATGGCTTGCTGCAGCCTCGACCTCCTAGGCTCAAGCAGTCCTGCCTCAGCCCCCTGAGTGATTGGGACTACAAGCATGCCACCACTCCTGGCTAATTTTTGATTTTTTGTAGAGATGAGGTCTCATGATGTGGCTGGTCTCCAGCTCCTGGCCTCAAGTGATCCTCCTTCCTCGGCCACCCAAAGTGTTGGGATTATAGGCCAGAGCTGCCACATCTGGCTAAGGCTTATTTAAATTGAGAATTTGCCGCACTAGTGGCAAATCATTTTTTAAAATGCTGGTACCTGGGCCCCACGGAGGTAAAGTTCCACCAGGTGATTTCATTGAGTAGCCAAGGGCTGAGGTGAAGCTGGTGAGGGTTCCTGGGATTTGCAGTGCTTCATTTTCTTCCCATTCCTGTTCTCAGATGGCGCTCCCCACGTTGCCGTCCTACTGGTGCAGCCAGCAGCGCCTGAATCAGCAGCTAGCACGACAGCGAGAGCAGGAGGCCCGGCTTCGGCAGCAGTGGGAGCAGAACAGCCGTTATTTCAGGATGTCTGACATCTGCAGCTCCAAGCAGGCAGAGTGGAGCTCTAAAACCTCCTACCAGCGGAGGTAATTGTGCAGTGACTGACGATTGGATGGAGGTGGGGGCCGCTTGCTGCTGGTCAGGGGATGAGGCCTTAAGAATTCAGGGAGCATAGGATTTGCCAGGCAGCATGAATTACCTGCACGATGATGTTTTTCCAGCTGGAAATGGAAAAAATAGATCATCAGTGCAGTATACATTGGCATTAAAAAAAAGAAAAAATGATGCAGAAGCACATGATAGAATTCATAATCCTCCTTGTAACCCCACATCCCCAGAGAGAGCCACAGTTAAGTCTGGCACATATCCTTCCATGCCTTTTTCCATTGGTATTTATGCTTAAGTACACACACACACACCCCTGCTTTTATAGAAGTTCCTGTAAAAATGTGGAGGCCAAAAGCATAGGCTTTGAAGTCAGATAGACCTAGATGGAAATCCTGACCATGTCTCTTGCTGAATGCATGAGGTTTGGTTTCCTCATCAGTCAAGTGGGGCTACAGCAGACCTACACTGTAGGATTTATGTGATGGATAATATAGATATTATTTATACATTTTCTTTTTGCAAAAACAAGATTTTCTCTTATGCATACTATTCAGTTACCTGTTCTCTTCACTTTGGCTGGGGACACATTCCTGTGTCACCATGACATACCTACCTTAGCCTCTTACCCACACAGCAGAGCAGAGCATGCTCCTTGTGGCTGTGGCATGATTGATTCAGGCAGGCTCCCTCTCACCCAGCATGCATGCCTATCAGCGTGAGAAGATGAAGGAGGAGAAGAGGAAGAGTCTGGAGGTCCGGCGGGAGAAGCTCAGGCAGCTCATGCAGGAGGAACAGGACCTGCTGGTCAGAGAACTGGAGGAGCTAAGGCTGAGCATGAACTTGAGGGAAAGAAGAATCCGGGAGCAGCACAGGAATCTGAAATCAGCTAGAGAAGAACAGAGGAAACTGGTAACTTCCCAGAGGCCTTCAGGAGGCTGTGGAGCAGGAGCACTCCCAGCCTGTGTGTGTCACACATGTAGGGTCATTCCTGGGTGCTCACGTCTGATGAGATGCCAGTTAACTCCAGAGCCAGCAGGAAAAGAGCTTAAGTCCTTGTGCAGGGACTGGGTTTTAGATGAGTCAGCTGTATTCCCTTTAGCCCCTTAAATCATTACATCTGGGAGTTTTCCTTACTTCCGGTTATGTGGGCCCACAAAGATCTGAGACTAGTCTGTCTTACCTTCCAAAGTAGTTGTGTGAAACAGTGAGCCCGGGTCTGTGCTTTTTACCCTGCTGTGTTACTTTGAGACCCCCTAGATAGGACCTCTGCATAGTAGCATCAGATTTTGGCCTCCTTTTGTCACCATTGCAAGAGTCACTCATTAGTGTCGTGGTCCTCAGAGCTGTGCGTGTGAAACACCAGGGTTTGAGCAGTGGGTGCAGTGACAGTGTGAATGGAGGCGCCTGTAGCTTGAGCTGACTTCTGTGTGTCACCCAAAACGTGGATGAATTTGAAAAATGACATCAGGCTTTCCATTGTGTTTTCTTGATAGATTGCTGAACAACTTTTGTATGAACACTGGAAAAAGAACAACCCGAGACTTCGAGAGGTGAAAGTCAGAGACCTCCATTGATTTGCCTAAGTAGATGGAATCATGTTTCCAGACTTTTTTTTTTAACCACGTATCTTGTACTGGGTTGAAACAGAGGAGGGAACCTTGAGTGCCTGAAAAGAGCAGCAGGCAGAAGATCTGGTGCAGGCTGCACTGAGCGGTTCATTCAGTTGTTGAACAAGTGTTGATTGAACCCTGGCTGCCTGGTCTACCAGGTGGGGACATGGAGATTAGATGGGTTTTCTGCTCATAAGTTTGCGTCCATCATGGGAGACAGTGGGTAGCTCATTACAGGGCCAGATGCAGGGTACTGGGCCAGCCTGAGAAGATGGGCATGGGCCAGTGCACTCAACTCTGGAGGGGTCAGGGAGGCTTCCCAGAGGAGTTCCTGAGGTGGATGAGTTTGAAGGGATGTGTGTAGGGGGAGGAAAGGATGTTCGAGGTTACATGACTGTGAGAACCAGCCTGAGACTTGAGAGCAGAGTGAGGCCTGGGAGCTGAAAGTGTGCCAGTGAGGCTAGGATGTCAGATAGGGAGAACCCCAAGAGCTGATGCTGGTGAGGTGGATGGTGCCAGACGTCAGAAGAGCTTGTGTGACCTTCCTCTGAAGGTGCTGGGGACTGGCACACAGGATCCTGGCTGCAATTTCAAAGAGATCCCTCTGGCAATAATGTGCTGGCAGCAGGGAGGGGTGCTGTGACAGCCCAGCCCAGTGAAGGCCTGAACTGGGCTGGCAGGGGAGAGGAGGACAAACTGCAGGAGAGGGGGTGACCTCTTGGCTTGGTGGCATTGTTCAGTGGAGATTTGGCTGGAGGGAGATCATCCTTCACTGTTATCATTCATTTATTTTCAACTTAACAGTTTTTGTATACATTTGATGCCTTCACATTATTCATAGTTACATTTAGAAATCACCAGGTGCTAAATAATGGAAGATTAGTGCTTTTGTGCAGTTCACACCAAGCTGTGGGAGGACTCCTTAGTCCTGTTGGCATCAGTGTAGTTGGCCTCCAGAGCCGTTTACTCAGAAAAGCTTATTCAGAACATTCAAGTTAGGTGCACAGCATATGTTCAGTTGTAAGTTGGGAAAGATTTTATTTATTTATTTTTGAGACAGTTACTCTGTCGCACCGGCTGGAGTGCAGTGTCGTGATCTTGCTCGGCACACTGCTGCTTGAACTCACCTCCTATGTTCAAGTGATTGTTCTGCTCCAGCCTCCCGAGTAGTTGGGACTATAGGCACACGCCACCATGCCCAGCTAATTTTTTTGTTTTCTTAGTAGAGATGGAGTTTCACCATATTGACCAGGCTGGTCTCAAACTCCTGACCTCATGATCCGCCTGCCTCGGTCTCCCAGAGTGCTGGGATTACAGGTGTGAGCCACTGCACCAAGCCAGGAAAGATTATTTTAAAACTTTTTTGTAGAGACGAGGTCTCCCTATGTTGCTCAGGTTGATCTCGAACTCTTGGGCTCAACTGATCCTCCCACCCAACCTCTTGAGTAGCTGAGACAGGTGGGTATCACCATATCTGGCTAATTTTATAAACAGTTTCTTAAAACAAAAGCTTTTGGATTGAATGTTGTGATCCATTTTCTAATCTAGGAGATTCTCTGCACCCAAATCTCTTGCTAACAATTCCAAACTTGTTGGACCTACTGGCACATTACTTGATACATGGAGTACATACTCATCTGCTTTGCAGAGGAAGCTTTGGGGAGCCAGGCACAGGGTTGAGTCTTCTCCTCACCCAGCTGTCTCCCAGGGCCTGGCATGTAGTAGATCAACCCGAGGTGGCCTTTGAAATTGTATTTCCATTTCAGCATCCAGCTCAACCCCAGGGCTAGTGGGAGGGAAGTCTCTGTTACTTTGTACCAGCTCAGGAGATTGGTGCAGGAGCACCTGGTCCCTTGGTCTTCTGATTGACTTGCATTCATACTACATGTTGGAGTCACCCCACACTCTCTATTGGATGCCTGTGCCACTGAGTCCCCATGAAGGGAAGTCATGGCCACTTTCCAACAGTTGGCACAGAGGGTAGCAGCACACTGTCCCCATAGTGCCTGTCTGTCCCATGAGGAAGCCCACATCCTCTCACTTCTGTCCTCAGATGGAGCTGGACCTTCACCAGAAGCATGTGGTAAACTCTTGGGACATGCAGAAAGAAGAAAAAAAACAGGTGTGGTATGTGACTCTGGGAACAGCCCTGCATTCTGTGGTGGGAGGCTGTCCATGTCTTTGCATTTGTTTGCTGTTTTCAATGTCAGTGACTCCAGTTAAGGAGTACAGTAGACTCTTTCTCAGTTTACTTGACACATGTGAAAACTGAATGTTTGCTCTTATACATACTAGAATCCTATGTGATCATTCCTAGGGCAGAGTACGGCCAGGTGACCGGGGCTGGGAGGTGGCATGTAGAGCATGCATCTTTTTTTCTTTTGGAGACAGGGTCTTGCTCTGTCACCCAGGCTGCAGCGATTCACAGCTCACTGCAGCCTCGACCACCTGGGCTCAAGCAGTCCTCCTATCTCAGCCTCCCAAGTAGCTGGGACCACAGGTATGCGCCACTGTACCCAGCTAATTTTTTAATTTTTATAGAGATGGGGTCTTGCTCTGTTGCTCAGGCTGGTCTGGCCTCCTAGCCTGAAACGATTCTCTCACCTCAGCCTCCCAAAGTGTTGGGATTACAGGTGTGGGCCACAGGGTCCAGCTAGAACATGTGTCTTTAAGGGCATTTTTGTCATTCTGATGAAATTTGCATCATAAACTCACAACCCTGGCTTACAGTAGCCTCTGTGGGGTTGAGCTTTCACACCTCCATGCACCGGTCACTTTGCCTCCTGGTTTGCTTCAGAAAGTGTTTTGTTGAGTGGAGTGGAAACCCAGCATTATCAAGGCCCTCCCTGACTTGGTCTCTGAAGGCGTCGTCACTTGGGATTCAGGCAGGAACTGCCTGGGCCCTGTGTCCTGCAGAATGGTGGCAGGAGCTGGGTTTTTGTTGGTGTATGGTACAGATACTGACCTGTGTTCATTCGGCTCCTTGCAGCAAGAAGCCATGGCAGAGCAAGAGAACAAACAGTATGAAAACCAATACAAAAAGGCCCGGAGGGAGGCGCTGGAACGGATGAAAGCTGAAGAGGAAAGGAGGCAGCTGGAGGACAAGCTCCAGGCGGAGGCGCTGCTGCAGCAGATGGAGGAGCTGAAACTGAAGGAGGTGGAGGTGGGCACGAGCCCCTCTCGGCCATGACCTCCTTCATAGCTGCTTGTTAGCATGAGATGGGCACTTGAGAGGCCGCCCAAAGGAGAGGTCATAGCAGGGCTGAGATCCTATGAAGGGCAGCAGGAGCCAGGTTCTCCCTCTCACATGCATCCCCTTCTGCCTGGAGCTTTGTCATTCTCCTGGTCTGTGTGCCTGGATTCCAGAATGTTAATGACACAGAGCCAGTAGCTGTTCTCTCAGAGGTGCTCAGCAACCTGCTGCTTGAGAATATTCTTAGAACATGGATTTTCCAGTGCACTAAGTAGACACGATCTAGCACCCATCTCTCTGTGGGGAGCAGGTTTCAGGTCTCGAGGCCTAACTGAGGGTTTTTGGTCCAGAGGCTGTTTTTAGAGAACATGGCACAGTTCCCTTGAAAGAATGAGATTTACCTATTTAGATGAAGGAGTCCCATGCTCCTGTGGCCCCACTTCCCCTTACCCAGGCCCAGGGATTCAGCAGCTACGTTCTTAGTGCCCACCACTTATATTCTAGGTGCCGAGCACTGGGTTGGAGCTAGAGATAGAGCCTGAGCAAGGACCACAGGCCTGGCTTCCTGGTGGAGGCTGTGTCAGGCGGAGGACAGTTAAGTTATAGTAAGCGTGGACCAGTACAGGGTCCTGTGGGAATCTAGAGTTTGGGACTCAGAAAGGCCCTTTGGGGAAATGGCTCAGATGAGATGGGATGGGTAAGTGAGAGGTGGGAGGGGATCGCGACCACCTGGTGGCCAGGCCACCGTCACGGAGTATCTGAAAAACGGAGATGGAGCGTGAAGGAAGATCTGGTTCCCACCATCTCAGATCTCAGTCGGGCTTACTCACCACCACAGGCCACCAAACTAAAGAAGGAGCAGGAGAATCTGCTGAAGCAGCAGTGGGAGCTGGACAGGCTGGAGGAAGAGCGGAAGCAGATGGAAGCCTTCCGGGAGAAGGCGGAGCTGGGGTGCGTGTCAGGAGGGCCCACTCTTCCCATGCGGGTGGGCCTCTTGCTTTTTCAGACTTTCGGTCATGTTGCTGAAACCATAAAGGAGATGCCCTGTGGTCAGCAGTTGTCTAACTTGCGTTTAATTCTTTCTGAGATACTGAAGGTAGCCCACATTTGATTCTCCTTCAGGCGCTTCTTGAGACATCAGTATAACGCTCAACTCAACAGACGCGCACAGCAGATCCAAGAGGAGCTGGTAAGTCTGAAGAGATTGACATCTTTCTCATCCTCTTTTTGAAAAAAAAAAGAAGTCTTCCATTTCTTAGTATATGAGTGCATTCTCGTAAGAATGAAAAGAGACGGAGGGGTCACGGGAGAGGGAGATGTTGGTCAGAGGGTATATCCAACCCTCTGGAGATGCGGGAGTTCTGGGGCCTAGTGTCCAGTGTGTTGACCACAGTTGATGACACTGTGTTGTATTCTTGAAATTTGCTAAGAGAGTCGATCTTAAGTGTTGTCACTACAAAAAGCAACTGTGAGGATATGGTAATTAGCTTGACTGCAAGGATCCTTTTGCAGTGTGTGTGTGATACACAGAGAGATAGAGATATCAGAACGTCAAATTATTTTTCAATAAACCTGTTATTTAAAAACAGCACAACACAAAGTGAGATCACCCCCTTGACCAGCGCCTGCAATCTCTGTCCCCAGAGGTGTCTGTCTGGTGCACATCTTTCTAGATATGTTTACATTCAGAGAGGTAGAGGTTTGTTTTTGTTTTTGTTTTTAAATGTAATTGAGGTTGCATTCCTCAGCATCTTCACTTAACACTAAATCTCTATAATTTTTAAAAAGCTCTGCCGCGCACGGTGGCTCATTGCCTGTAATCCCAGCACTTAGGGATACCGAGGTGGGTAGACTGCCTGAGGTCAGGAGTTTGAGGCCCCATTTTTAGTAGAGATGGGGTTAGTAGAGAAACCCCATCTCTACTAAAAAAAAATACACAAACTATAGTCGGGTGTGGTGGCACAGGCTTGTAATCCCAGCTACTCTTGAGGCTGAGGTAGGAAAATTGCTTGAACCCGGGAGGCGGAGGTTGTGGTGAGCCAAGATTGTGCCACTACACTCCAGCCAGAGCAACAAGGGCAAAACTCCGTCTCAAAAAAAAACAAAACAAAAACAAAAACTAGCCAGCCATGGTAATGTGCACTTGTAGTCCTAGCTACTTGAGAGGTTGAGGCTGGAGAATTGCTTGAACCCAGGAGACGGAGGTTGCAGTGAGCCGTGATTGCACCACTGCACTCAAGCCTGGGCAACAGAGCAAGACTCTGTCTCAAAAAAAAAAAAAACCCCAAAAACACAAATAAAAGATCATTATGCTTAGATTGAACCTGTTCTTTTCAAATAGCTCCTTCGGATTCCTAAGTACTATAATGAGCTCCCATGCTGTGAAGGGGACAGACCCAAGCTGCCCTTCCCATCCCTGCCCACTGCGGTCAAGGCAGGACATGGGGTGCAGCAGCACAGTTGGTCCTGATATGCAGCCTGTTTGTATGGGGTCTTGCTCTATTGTCCAGGCTGGAGTGCAGTGGCACAATCAGGACCTCTCAGGCTCTTGAGTAGCTGGGACTATAGGTGGGTATCACCATGCCTGGCTGATTTTTTTTTTTTTTTTTTTGTAGAGATGGGGGTCTTGCTACATTGCCCAGGTGGGTCTTGAACTCCTGTGCTCAAGTGATACTCCCAGCTCAGCCTCCCAAAGTGCTGGGATTGCAGGCATAAGCCTTGGTGCCCATCCTCCTGCATTCTTTTAATGCTTCCATTAGGTCAATGTACATAGTAGCTAATTCCCCACCAATGAGCATTTTGGTTGTTTCTGGTTTTTCCCTCTTGTATAAAAGCTGCAGTGAGTGTTTTACACCTTTGTGTCACTGTGGTCTTCATTCTTACAAGTAGGATTTTTGCCAAGTTGTATTCTAAAAAGTGTAACCAGATGTTTCCGAGGGCATGTGGTGTTGTGGGGTCTCCCTTTGGCCAGAGAGAAGCTCCTAGGCCTGTGCAGTGTCTCAACCACCCCTCATGCTTATCCCCAGTCTGTTCAGAAATAATCCCGCATCTTCCCATCTCTATCTTGAGAACACTGTAGGATCACAAATGTCTGTGATAGGCTCTGTGTAGGCTCTCATTGCAGAAGGCCTCTGTCCAGCCCAGCCACGTGCTGCCCTCTGCTTCTTTTAGGAGGCAGACAGGCGGATTCTGCAGGCCCTCCTCGAGAAGGAGGACGAGAGCCAGCGCCTCGACCTGGCCAAGCGGGAGCAGGCGGTGGCTGATGTAGCCTGGATGAAGCAGGCCATTGAGGAGCAGCTGCAGTTGGAGCGGGCACGGGAGGCAGAGTTGCAGGTGCTGCTGAGGTGAGTGGCGGCCACTGACTGCGCCGGAGGCTCCTGGCCTCGACTCTGGTTCCTTGAAATGCCCCATGGGTCACCTGTTACTGAAATATCTGTTGGCTGGGCTTGGAGGCTCACACCTGTAATCCTGGTGCTTTGAGAGGTCAAGGCAGGTGGATCGCTTGAGCCTAGGAATTCAAGACCAGCCTGGGCAACATGGCCAAACCCCAGTCTCTATCAAAAATACACAAATTGGCCAGGCATCGTTGTTCACGCCTGTAGTCCATCTACTCGGGAGGCTGAGTGGAAGGATCGCTTGAGCCCAGGAGGTTGAGGCTCTGATTAGCTATGATTGCACTACTGCACTTCAGCCTGGGTGACAGAGCGAGACTCTGTCTCAGAAAGAAAAAAAGGAAGAAGAAATACCTGTTACGTTGTCTAACGTTCCCAAGGAGCACATCTTCATAATGGACCTGGCCGTGGTATAAGTCATCACAGTTGTTTTTTTTCCCCTTGTATTATCTCAGGTAGAAATCAGTAAGGTTTAGAGTGATGATGTGTTCATCTGAAATCTTAGAGGTTTGGAAGGAAATTCTTTTTATTTGAGACAGAGTCTCATTCTGTCACCCAAGCTGGAGTGCAGTGGTATGATCTCGGCTCACTGCAGCCTCTGCCTCCTGGGTTCAGGCAATTCACTGCCTCATCCTCCTGAGTAGCTCTGATTACAGGCACCTGCCACCATGCCTGGCTAATTTTTATATTTTTAGTAGAGATGGGGTTTTACCATGTCAGCCAGACTGGTCTCAAACTCCTAACCTCAGGTGATCCACCCCCCTCAGCCTCCCAAAGTGCTAGAATTAGAGGCGTGAGCACCATGCCCTGCTGGAAGGAGATTCTTAGAGATGTTGAATGCTGCTTATGTATAGAAAACTGAGTTTGGGTCCTAAAGATTAAACTAGCAGATCAAAATCACTGAATAATAAATAGAATACATTGAGCACTTACTGCATGCTGGACGCTGCTAAATGCTCTTTACAGGCCTCATCTTACTGAGTCTTGACATCCAGCCAAGTGGTGGCCTATGAGACATGGAGACTTGAGGAGGTTACTCAGTCCAGGGTGAGCTGCAGTGACACAGGTGCTTGGTGGCAGGGCTCAGGCACAGGCCATGCCCTCCTCCTCTCCAGGTCCTGATGGTTTCATTTGTCTCTGTGTTAAATGGTCATGGTGTAAGTCATCACAATTGCCTTTTTTTTTTTTTTTTTGAGATGGAGTCTCGGTCAGTTGCCTAGGCTGGAGTGCAGTGGCACGATCTTGGCTCACTGTACCCTCTGCCTCTTGGATTCAAGCGATTCTCCTGCCTCAGCCTCCTGAGTAGCTGGGACTACAGGCGTGTGCCTCCACACCCGGCCAATGTTTTTTTTTTTTTTTTAGTAGAGACAGGGTTTCACCATGTTAGCCAGGATGGTCTCAATCTCCTGACCTTGTGATCCACCCACCTCGGCCTCCCAAAGTGCTGGGATTACAGGTGTGAGCCACTGTACCCAGCTCACAATTGCTTTTTATAAGGAGATGGGTATTAAAAAGGTAACTTAAAATACCTCCAATAGGGCTGGGTGCGGTGGCTCACGCTTGTAATCCCAGCATTTTGGAAGGCCAAGATGGGCAGATCACTTGAGATCAGGAGTTCAAGCCCAGCCTGATCAACATGGTGAAACCCCATTTCTACTAAAAATACAAAAATTATCCGGGCATGGTGGCACTACTCAAGAGGCTGAGGCACAAGAATCACTTGACCTGGGAGGTGGAGGTTGCAGTGAGCTGAGATCACACCATTGCACTCTAGCCTGGATGACAGAGCAAGACTCCATCTAAAACAACAACAACAAGCTTCCAACAGCACTGTCTGTGGATGCTGTCCTTAATGTAATCTTTTCAATGTACGTGTGGATGTTTATCTTCAGGGCAGCCCTGCAGAAGCCATGTACCCTGCAGCCCTGTCTGTTCCATAGCTCGCTTCCTACCGTGGTGGGGAGGAGCCTGCTATCATCCCTTTTGTGTTCGCCCAGGGAGGAGGCCAAGGAGATGTGGGAAAAGAGAGAGGCAGAGTGGGCCCGAGAACGCAGCGCACGGGACAGACTGATGAGCGAGGTAATCCCAGCTCCGGCGATGTGGACCAGCTGTTGGGTCCCGGGCAGGTATCTGGAAGTCTGTGATCGATCAGTCACCCTGCCAGATGCTCTGGGAACAGAGTCTTCTCTGGTCATTTTAAGTGGGCCTTAAAAATCATTGGAAAATTAATATGAACTTACTAGAAAAATATTCAGAAATACAGAAAGTAGAAATGAGAAAAGTCCCCCAGAGTGCCATTCTATACACAGCTATAGCTGCTGCTTCCTTCTGCTCTTCTGTTTCCATGCCCAACATTTTTTCCACATGTATTTTTAATTGTCTTGTGCTATTTTACTTTAGGCGTTGTAACATGCTGTTACATCTTTATAAAAGCCACGTCAAGGGCTGTATTGCAGACTGTCCTCTGTCTCCTGCTGCCTTTACGTTCCCTCTTTTTTTTTTTTTTTTTTTTTTTTTTTGAGATGGAGTCTCGCTTTCACCCAGGCTGGAGTACAATGGCATGATCTTGGCTCACGGCAACGTCTGCCTTCTGGGTTCAAGCGCCTCTTCTGCCTCAGCCTCTCAAGTGGCTGGGATTATAGGCATCTGCCATCATACCCAGCTAGTTTTTATATTTTTAGTAGACACAGGGTTTCACCATGGCTGGTCTCGAATTCATGACCTCACGTGATTCACCTGCCTTGGCCTCCCAAAGTGCTGGGATTACAGGTGTGAGCCACCAAACCCAGCTGGATGTGCTATTTTTCTAATTGGGAGCCATTCTGAGAAACACCGCAGGGAGCATCTTGGTACATGGGGCTCTTCCCATGCATTTTCCCTCTTGGGATAGACAACAGGTATAAACTGGAGAACATGTTTTCCTGGTCAGTGTGTATGCCATGCATGGAAGACACACACAAACCACAGGGAAATCTGGAAGGAGAGGAGAGTTAGTTATCCATGAGCTGAAAGTTGTTTTAAAGTGGCTTAGAATGAGAAACTCTGTGTTGTGTCTGGCAGTACGCAGTATTTTGGAATCCACAGGAAATCGGGTCCCGATTGATGTTTTGCTCTTGTAAATACTAAGAATTCTCCAGTGGCTTTTGATTTTCCTCATTTAAATTTCCTTCCTGATGGCAGCCACTTTTCTGTTTCCCCCTGCCCTACAGCATAACTGTTGACAGTGTCAGGTGGCTTCCTGCTCCTGACTGTGGGCTGGGCTGGAGTTTGGGTATCACACGGCTCTGGGGACAGGTTTCAAACACAGCAGGTTCAAAAGATGAGGGGATAACCCCATCTCCACCTGTGGTCATCTGTCTGTGTGCTTGTGGTTTTCCTGTTTTTTAGAGCTCACTGATAGGTAAGACTCACCTTGTTGCTGCAAGGTTTCTGTGCCCTTGGGGAGAGGGCTCCATCCCAGTCTCCTTTGATCTCTTTGGCATTCAGCTGTCTCTTCATAATACATAGTTTGGATACAATTTGTGTATGTTGGGGTATGAGGGAAATGTTTCTGGTATACTGGCAAGCGTGACTGATGTCGTAAGAGCACATCCTATAGTGTGACTCTGCCTCTGTCTGTGTATTTGGGCCTGAGGCCCAAGGATGAGGCTGGGCCTTGCTGTGGCTGCAGCCTGTGCAAGGCTTGTAGAACCAGGATCTGTTAGGGTCAACCTCAAAGCTGCCCTTTCTTTCTGCTGAGAGTAGGTTCTGACAGGGAGACAACAGCAAATACAAGAGAAGATTGAACAGAATCGACGGGCACAAGAGGAATCCCTGAAACACAGGGAGCAACTCATTCGAAATCTCGAGGAGGCAAGAGAATCTGCTCGTCGCGAGAAAGAGGAGAGTGAAGAGCTGAAATCTACCAGGAAGCGGGAGCTGGAAGCCCAGGTGGGGCTGAGCCCAAGGGCAGGAAGCAGTGGGCCTGCTGTGGTTCTCACATCATCATGGGACAGGGTTCAGAGGCCCTGGACTGCCTGGCAGGGCTGGCATGCACTTGAGAGCACAGTGCCCAGTTTTAATCCCAGCTGCAGTCCTCATCTTTTTTTTTTTTTTTTTTTAAGATGTCTCACACTGTCACCCAGGCTGGAGTGCAGTGGCATGACCTCAGCTCCGTGCAACCTCTGCCTCCCAGGTATAAGTGATTCTTCCACCTCAGCCTTCCGAATAGCTGGGCTTACATTACAGGCATGCCACCATGCCCGGCTAATTTTTAGTATTTTTAGTAGAGATGGGGTTTCACTATGTCGGCCAGGCTGGTCTTAAACTCCTGACCTCATGATCCCGCTGCCTTGGCCTCCCAAAGTGCTGGGATTACAGGCGTGAGCCACTGCATCTGGCAGTCCTCATCCTCTTGACTGTGGCTTCGTTCTCCTCCACATCCTCCATCACATGTGGGCATGAGGCCAACACTGCTGTCTGTCTGCTTTGTCCTGTCTGCTTCTGGAAGCTGTTGGCTTACCAGGGGCCACAGTTCTCTCTTCGGTTCAGTACCTAGACATAAGACAGAAGAGCCCTCCAAACACCCGGCCACATGCTGGGCTTTTCACAAGGTACATGCTATACACATACCCTTTCCAGTTCCACAGGTTCCCGTCCATTCCTTGGCACTTGCATTGCTGTTGCTCAGCTGGATTCTCCAGCCTGGGTAGGACTGCAGGCTTACCCTCCTCATCAGAGGCTCTGCCCCATAGGCCTTGTCTTAGGGTGACTTTGTTCTTGGCACCCAGGTTGCAGAGCGCCGGCTGCAGGCATGGGAAGCAGACCAGCAGGAAGAGGAGGAAGAGGAGGAGGCCCGCCGGGCTGAGCAGCTCTCGGATGCCTTGCTGCAGCAGGAGGCCAAGACCATGGCTGAGCGGGGCTACCGGCCCAAGGTAGGGAGCCTGTCAGGCGACAGGCCACCGATGATGACACAGACTCTGCCCGGCCCCTGCTCCCTTGGGCCTGTTCATCACCCTGCACTGGGCTCTGCCCTCCAGCCATCCGGGTCATTCCTTGTTCCTCTTCTGTATTCCTCTCTCCACTGACCAACAGGGAGCCCTCATGCAGGGGCTGTTCCAGTCCTTGGTTGGGCCTCAAACAGCCCTTGAGTTGATTTTGCTCTGGCCTCTGCTTACTAAGCTGCATGCCTATCTACCCTCTTTGGGCAATCTAAGAAGAGCTGTGGCCACAGCTGCTGAGAGGGGACACAGCAGTAGGCCCAGCTGTTGAGACAGCAAAGCCCAGTGATCAGGAGACCGGTCCTTCTCCCCTCTTCTCCCCCTAGTGTGTGTATCCTTGTTTCTGTGCCTCCCAGTGTCTTGTTTCCCAGAACTCTCTGCATGGCACCGTGGGGAATACAGAGAGGCAAAGGCTGCCTCCCCTGCCCTGAGGAAGCTGATGACTAAAGCACCTCTGGTGTTGGCTTGTGCCCTCTGCCTCCTTTACCCAGGGCCACCCTGGCCACCTGGTGCCTAGAGTGCACTCCCCAGGACACGTGCTACAGAATGAGAACTGGCTCCTCATGGTCAGATGATGCTGGAAACTGAAACAAAATTAGAGCAGGTGCTGCAGTTTTCCATAGGCCACTCATGTCATCACACACTGACTCTCAGAGCTGCAGGGAACAGCATTTTTCTAAACCCCCTTGACCATGGATCAGTGAGTGTCTTGGGATCAGGGTTTCACAGACCATATGCGAAAATGTTTCTTAGGGCTAGTACTTTAAAAAGTTATAAAGTGCCTCATTTATGGTTTAGGGTCAGTCTTTTTCAGCTATAAATGAAACAGCCATTGATATTGTTCTTTTACCTTGTAGTTAAAAGAGGCTAATTCCCCATGCTCCACATAACTGCTGATCTGATCAGTCTTGTGTTTTCTTTCTTTTTTCAGCCTTACGGACATCCGAAAATTGCTTGGAACTGACTTCATGGGTACCATAAGCACAGAGAACAAGGGATGCTGAGGCTTCTGATCCCAGCCTCCAGGCAGTTTGACGGGGCTCTGGTATACTCAGTGCCCAGGCACTGTCAGATGGCTCAGCAGTGCCTGCTCAGGTTCATCATTAAAAGCATCCAGGGTTTGGCCAGACATTTAAGATGTGAGTCTGCAGCACTTGGTGAGAGGCCCTTTGATGCATTTCTTACCCAAGCAAGGGTCTTTGATAGGCACGTGTCTACAGCACTGCCGCATAGTCTTGTAATGTGTTATCAATAACATCAACTCAAGGTCAATACTAAGGAGCCACAGGTTGTGCCTGTGATGGTGTACGTGGTTTCCTGTTGTCTCAACCTTTGTCAGCCTCCAGTGTTGACTCTAGAAATATGAGGAAAGCTTTTCAGTTTTTAAAATTGCCATTTAAATTTAGTCTATTGAAAACAAACCTAGAGATGTTGGTGGAATTTATTTCAGAGTTTGTTAATTTAAGGGTCCTAAAAGGATTACATCTTTTGTATTCTGGAAGAAAAGAACTGTGAAGCCAGGCATAGTGGCTCACGCCTGTAGTCCCAGCACTTTGGGAGGCTGAGGTGGGTGGATCACCTGACGTCAGGAGTTCAAGACTAGCCTGGCCAATGTGGTGAAACCCCATCTCTACTAAAAATAAAAAAATTAGCCAGATGTGGTGGCAGGCACCTGTAACCCCAGCTACTTGAGAGGCTGAGGCAGGAGAATTGCTTGAACCCAGGAGGTGGAGGCTGCAGTGAGCCAAGATCACCCCATTGCACTCCATCCTGGGCAACAAGAGTGAAACTTCATCTCAAAAAAAGGAAAAGAACTGAACAAATTAAAACCCTGGAACAGTCTGACGTCCACAGACACATTTCAGAAAAGTGGCAAGAGTTGAGTCTTTCCTCCTTCAGGAAGCATTTTGGTAGAATTTCCATAGAGCATTGTCTGGGAGTGATTGATCCCAACATGTATGTTACCAAGCCCCAAAAGGGACCTCATACTGGATGTGGTGGCATGTGCCTGTAGTCCCAGCTACTCGGGAGGCTGCAGCAAGAGCATTGCTTGAGCCCAAGAGTTCGAGTCCAGCCTGGGCAAAAGAAAGAGACCCTGTCTCTAAAAAAAGGTACCTTAGAAGGTCACCTGGCTAGCTAACCTTTTAAAGGCAGGGGTGTGACATGTGGGACTTCTAGTGTCTTGGGAGTGTCTTGGCTACATGTAGCCTTCTGGGATTTATGTGCCCAGAGGAAGAAGCACTGAGCCTCAAGAAACTAGATCAGACTCAGAACCACAGACCAATCAGAAATTTCTCTCCCACCACTATATCAGCATGATACAGGTCTACATTCATTTCTACAAATAGGAACAAGTTCCTTGCAGTAATCTTATTTTATGACTTGTATTTTTCCTATATTCTTCCTTGGAGGTTTCAGTTTTCATTACATTGTGTTCAAGATTCCATATCTCTGTAAATTACAGCTAATTACAGGGCATTGTTCCATGGTTATTAAAAACCAGAGTTTATTAAAACTCCTGAGTCTAAGGGCCACCTTACCTTTCACTTCCATTATGCTGTAAAAACAGACTGAGCTGCAAACCACGTCCTTCATCTGTTGTTCATTTTCTTGCAACTCTTTGGCTATGATCCCCTGAGCATCGCGTTCATCACACATGCTCACAGTTATGTCCCCTGATTCAGATGTCCATTAATTGTGAAATAAAATCCTGCTTCAACAGCACAGCTTCCTGGCTTTGTTACGGATTCTCTGATTGACTGCCATAAAGTGCACTGCGGGTGGTGACAGGCTTTTTACTGATTGAATCCACATCTCCCACATACAGGATTGGCTGTTTTCAATGACTGAAAACATTTTATAGGTTATATTCATTTTTCATAGGAAAGTGGTCTCTTCTTTCAATTGAAACCAGAGTGAAACAGGGCTTTGGTGTCACCCAGGCTGGAGTGTAACAGCGTAATCTCAGCTAACTGCAACCTCCGCCTCACAGGTTCAAGTGATCCTCTCATCTCAGCCTCCCCAGTAGCTGGGACTACAGGTGTGTACCACCAGGCCTGGCTAATTTAGTGGAGATTGGGGGTCTTGCCATGTTGCCCAAGCTGGTCTTGAACTCCTGGGCTCATGCGATCCTCCTATCTCAGCCTCTCAAAGCACTAGGATTACAGGTGTGAGCCACTGTGCCTGGCCTGAATTGTTTGTTTATTTTATTTTTTTTTTGAGACAGAGTCTCACTCTTGTTGCCCAAGCTGGAATGCAGTGGTGTAATTTCAGCTCACTGAAACCTCAGCCTCCTGGGTTCAAGCGATTTCCTGCTTCAGCCTCTCAAGTAGCTGGGATTACAGGCATGTGCCACCACACCTGGCTAATTTTTGTATTTTTAGTAGAGATAGGGTTTCCCCGTGTTGGTCAGGCTGGTCTCCAACTCCTCATCTCAAGTGATCCACCCTCCTCTGTCTCCCAAAGTGCTGGCATTATAGGCATGAGCCACCATGCCTGGCCTAATTTTTTGTTTTTGAAGCCTGATGGTAATCATTGGCATTAAAATTATGTTACTGGTTCACTGCCCTAATTAAATGTTTCTGCTCTAAACTGGTCCAATATAATTTGTTTTTAGAAACTTAAGAGTTTGCACTGTCTTATTATTTCTACTATAGCCCATACACCTGTGGGCCCAGGGTATTTGCATTTTGTATTTTGATTGTGTTGTAGTTACAGATACATATATATGACTTCTATTGTTGCTAAGCACCTTTTCCTGCTGACTCGAAATGAGTGGTTTCTAGATTATTCTTTGGCAGATTTTTCAAAGGTCTATTTCTTTAGTATAGATGATGCTGAAGCCACTGCTAGGAAATGCTTCTTGTGCTGATACAGAAGTGATGACTTCACATTGCTTTCTGCTCCTCATTCAGCACACATTCTCTCTAGGGAAGGTACTAGGCCTGGGAAGTCACAGCTGACCGTGAACAGTGACAAGTCAGACGCTGGAATCGGACACAGACGAGCAGATGTCACCGGCAGACACAGCCAGTTGTCACTCATGGGGCTGAAGAGATGTCTGTGCAATAGGTACAGTCTATAAATCCATATTTATGGATATGATTTTTTCATTTGGGTTTTTAGTTTTTGGTGTTCATAAAATATAGAGCAATCATTTAAAAGATATTGTAAAGCCTTTAAAAACACTGGCCTTAGGCCAGGGGCAGTGGCTTATGCCTATAATCCCAGCACTTTGGGAGGCTGAGGTGGGCAGATCACCTGAGGTCGGGAGTTCGAGACCAGCCTGACCAACATGGAGAAACCCCATCTCTACTAAAATTACAAAATTAGCTGGGCGTGGTGGCACATGCCTGTAATCCCATCTACTTGGGAGGCTGAGACAGGAGAATCGCTTGAACCCGGGAGGCAGAGGTTGTAGTAGACTGAGATTGCCCATTCCACTCCAGCCTGGGCAATGAGAGTGAAACTCTGTGGGAAAAAAAAAAAATTGGCCTTAGCAGTTCTTGATGACCTCGACTAAATTCAGTCATGAAGCTATATGGAGTTTGATTTTAGGGAACTGATTTTGCATTGTAATGTCTTGCTTTTAGAGGGATGTTTACTTTATGCCTTAATATCACTCAAAACACAATGTCTACCTCAACGGATACATAGGTGGTTTTTTTCCAACATGTAGCTGTGGTTTCTTTTCACTGCTCTAACGTAGCTGATTGTGTAAATTCACCATCATTTGTTCATCGCCACTTGTTTGATTTCCGGTGTTTTCTATTAAAATGGAGTTGCTGGAATCCTCTGTGCACATCACTTCTAGTGCAGGCATCGCGGGTGATCTCCAGCAAAATGGCCGGAAATGGGCCTCTTGCCACATTACAGCCATCAGGATCACATTGGAAAAGCCTGGATTGATGTCAGGGTGCTGCTTTGATGCTGCCTTAGCGCTTTTTTTTCTCATTTTCTCCCAATTAACTCATCTGAACGCTGCAGCTCCCTTTTCTTCATTTCCCCTAAACACCCCCTCCTCCATTTCCATGTAGAAACGCTTACCGTAGGAGGCTGGTGGGCCGTGATCCCCAGCGTGAGCGTGCTCAAGCTATGTGGTACTGCAGTTCGTGCTGCTGACTCCTGGCTCCGAAGACAGACAAAGCCTCCGGAATAAGTAGCTGGGCCACTGACACTGGCTTCTAGTTCACATGTACAGCTCTTGATCCATCAGGGTTGCTGACACACATGGGGTTCTGTGAGTACTCTGTAGTCACTGTGGCCTTTGCCAGTCGTAACCGAGCAGTGCTAGTTTTCCGGGCCCAGGCCTCACCACACAGGCTCTCCCAGGTGATGTGAGGCAGGCCTCTGCCTTCTGCTGCCATCCCCACATCAGTAACTCCTGGCTCTGCAGCCTCTAGTCCAGACTGTCCCTACAACTTTGACATCTCCACGGTGTCTCAGCATAGCCAAAACTAATGAATGATCTCCCCCAAACCCCCATCATTAGAAAAAAGCCCCAAACCCATCTGGCCCTTCTCCAGTGTTCTCAGATAAGTAACTAGTGATCGCATCTATCCTGCCAGTTGATTATGCCTTAGACCTAGGGCACTGAGTCCTGCTGGCCTCTGGAGTCTGCAGCCATCCACTTTGCTCCCTCATGTCCACCCTTCATGTCATCGAGCCAGCCCATAATTTTTTTATTCATCCTACAGTCAGAGGTCTTTCACAAACACACCTGAAATGAGAATCGTCCACTTTCTTCAGTAGCCTCTCAGGACACTTAGTACCAAGAGCCAAATCCTTCCTTGGCCTGCAAGGCCCTGTTCTGACCGGCCCTGCAGAGCTTTCCCAAAATGTACCGCTCTGCCTCCTGGCCCAGGAGACAGAAATACCATATTGGTACAAAGATGTTGCTCACAGCATTAGTATGATAACAGAAACAGACAACCTACATGTCTATCACCAGGAGGCTGTTTGAGCTTGGGATGTTATGCAGTGCATTAGAGTGGAATGGAACACAAAGTTATGGAGAAATGCTCCTGCTGTGTTAAAAAGTTAAGGCCAGCACTTTGGGAGGCTGAGGCAGGAGGATTGCTTGAGCCCAGTGGGACCCTGTCTACAAGAAAAAAAAAAAAAAACCTAGACACGGTGGTTCACGCCTGTAGTCCCAGCTACTCGGGAGGCTGAGGCAGGAGGGTCACTTGAGCGCTGGAGGTTAAGGCTGCAGTGAGTTATGATTATGCCACTTGCAATCTAGCCTACGCAACAAAGGAGACCCTTTCACTAAAAGAAAAAGTCTGTGGTGTGTTCATTCAGTGAATACTATACAATATTGATATTGAAAATGAACTAGCTACACACATTGACCTAGTTGAATCTTACAATGTTAAGGGAAAGAATTCATCAGTAGGGTTCTGTTTCCATGTTCAAAACCAGGCAAAAACCCTAAGCTGTGACCTAAGGATGCATACAAAGGTTTGGTTCCGCTAAACGCAAAGGAAGTGATAGACACCTTTTGGTCCCTTAGACCAAAGTCTAAGGGAAAGAGGGACCCTGGGGTCCCTGTGCCACCCTGGCTTTATTCTTCTAAGCCTCCTCCCGAGGCAAGGAGAGGACCATGCAGGAAGCAGCCTTCCCAGGGACCTCCCTCTTCTGACACTCCCAGGAAGGAGGACCAGGAGATGGGAGCCCCCAAGTCTGTTCCACTCCTCCATCCCACCGCATCCCTGCCAGGATTGAGAGAAAGGCACTCTTCTGTTTCTTGACCTGGTAGTAGTTACACAGGTAACCACTTTATAATTGCACACAGATGTGTCCGACATATTTCTTTGTTTATAGGTCACAATAAGAGAGAGACTGAGAGAGCACTTGAACCAAGAAATGTGTGGCGAAGAACAGCCTGTGGCCCACAATGGCCCAGGCTCTAGTTCTGATGCTCATACTTAGTGGCTGGGTGACCCTCCTGGCACAGTTCTGTGAAATGCAGAGAAGGGAGATGTGAAGATGTGAAAAGGTAGAGTAAGAAAGCATGGAGCTCAGGCCAGATAGAATGGCTCACTCCTGTAATCCCAGCTCTTTGGCAGGCTGAGGCAGGTGTATCACCTGAGGTCAGGAGTTTGAGACCAGCCTGACTAATATGGTGAAATTCCATCTGTACAAAAAAAAAAATATACCTGGGTGTGTTGGTATGTGCCTGTAGTCCCAGCTATTCAGGAGGCTGAGACAAGAATCACTTCAGCCTGGGAGGCAGAGGTTGCAGTGAGCCAAGATTGTGCCAGCTTGGGTGACAGAGTGAGACTCCATCTCAAAAAAAAAAAAAAGGCCTGTAATCCTAGCACTTTGGGAGGCTGAAGCAGGTGGATCACCTGAGGTTAGGAGTTCAAGACCAGCCTGGCCAACATGGTGAAACCCCATCTCTACTAAAAATACAAAAATTAGCTGGGCATGGTGACGGGCACCTGTAATCCCAGCTACTCGGGAGGCTGAGGCAGGAGAATCGCTTCAATCTGGGAGCCAAGATCAGGCCATTGCACTTCAGCCTGGGCAACAAAAGCAAAACTCCGTCTCAAAAAAAAAAAAAAGCATGGCGTTCGGAAGGCCCTAGTGTCCCTGCCAAGAGGATGCTGCCCCAAGGAATCCACCTGCCTGGGGCAGAACTGACCATGGCTCTGCCTTTGGACTTGGGCAGGATTTCCATTGCTTCGAGCAGAAGCACGTCATCCCTCCGCTGTGCACTTCGTTCCCCAGCACTGAGTCAGAGGCTTCCTCCCACCCTGAACTGGGGGGCTCTCTCCCAACTCTAGGGATGAGGTGGACTGGCCTGTGCCATGCCCTGAAGGAAGGCTTCCTGCTTCCAGCAGCAGGCGCAGAGCCGCTCCTTCCAGAAGAGCCGCCGTGGGGAAAGTTCGTGCTTGTGGATGAGGCTCCTTGAATAGTTCCAGCAGTTGAACTGGGCAGCGTCCTCCACATGGAGCTGAGTCTTACTTGAGCAGTGGTTACTGAAGATCTCAATTTGAAACAAACAGAAAAGATGAAAAATAATTTGTGGCAAAAGTAAGGAATTGGAAGACAAAACACAAACCCGGCCACCCAGGCTCTATTCCTGCAAGCCTACTCCTAAGGCGAGGAGAGGACCACACAGTAAGCAGCCCCCCAGGGGCCTCCCTTCTCCAACCTTCCCAGGAAAGAGGACTGGGAGGAGATGGGAGCTCCCAAGCCTCTGCTCTACACCTCCCTCCCACCACACCCCTGCAGGGTCGCAGCCATTTTTCTCCCTCTTCTGGTTCCAGAAGGCCTGCCGTCCTCAGCCTGGACATCCACCTGTGCCAGCTGAGCCCCGTGGTTAAGAGCACAGGCTCGGCCAGATGCAGTGACTCACGCCTGTAATCCCAGCACTTTGGGAGGCTGAGGGGGGAGGATCAACTGAGGTTGGGAGTTCGAGACCAGCCTGACCAACATGGAGAAACCCCATCTCTACTAAAAAAATATAAAATTAGCCAGGTGTGGTGGTGCATGCCTGTAATTCCAGCTACTTGGGAGGCTGAGGCAGGAGAATCACTTGAACCTGGGAAGCGGAGGTTGTGGTGAGCCAAGATCACACCACTGCACTCCAGCCTGGGTAACGAGTGAAACTCCATCTCAAAAGAAAAAGAGCACAGACTCAATGCTCTCGCTTCCTCCGCTGTGAACTGGGCTCTCAGGGTTGAGCCTCGATTTCTTCATCTGCAAAATGGGGGTAGTTTTAATTCCTACTTGGGGAGCCTGCTTTCATAACTGACTGGGAAATGCCAGGAGCACTTAGCCCAGTGGCTGCTTGGAGTGCAGGTGTCAGCTCAGCCCTTCTGGTCTGAAAGCAACAGTTCGAGCTGGGGAAGAACCTAAAGTGGGGTCCTGGGAAGGGGTGGCAGAAAAAGGGGAGCAGAGAGCAGTTTACATCTCCAGGGTCAGAGGGGAGGGCAGTTAGCATTCCCATGAATGAAGGGGAGGGCTGAGGTACCACTCAGGCCTGGGGATGCAAATTGCAAAATCAAGTTAGATTTCAAAATGCCCCTGAGAAGGGCGAGGTTCATGCCTGTAATCCCAACACTTTGAGAAGCCAAGGTGGGAGGATCATCTGAGGCTAGGGGTTCAAGACCAGCCTGACCAATATGGCAAAACCCCATCTCTATGAAAAATTAAAAAATTAGGCTGGGCGCAGTGGCGCACGGCTGTAATCCCAGCACTTTGGGAAGCCAAGGCAGGTGAATCATGAGGTCAGGAGTTCAAAACCAGCTTGGCCAAGATGGTGAAACCCTGTCTCTACTAAAAACACAAAAAATTAACCAGGCGTGGTGGCAGGTGCCTGTAATCCCAGCTACTCAAGAGGCTGAGGCAGAGAATTGCTTGAACCTGGGAGGTAGAGGTTGCAGTGAGCCAAAATTGCACCGCTGCACTCCAGCCTGGGTGAAAAAGCAAGACTCTGTCTCAAAAAAAAAGGAAAAGAAAAGAAAAAAATTAGCCTGGTGTGATGGTGTGTGCCTGTAATCCCAGCTACTCTGGAGGCTGAGGAAGGAGAATTGCTTGAGCCCGGGAGGCAAAGGTTGCAGTGAGCTAAGATGGCACCACTGCACTGCAGCCTAGGTGACAGAGTGGGAAAAAAAAAGTATGAAAAAGATGAATTGCAGGCCAGGCATGGTGGCTCACACGTGTAATCCCAGCACTTTGGGAGGCTGAGGTGGGCAGATCATGAGGTCAGGAGTTCGAGACCAGCCTGAACAACATGGTGAAATCCCATCTCTACTAAAAAATACAAAAATTAGCTGGGTGTGGTGGCACATGCCTGTAATCTCAGCTACATGGGAGGCCGAGGCAGGAGAATCACTTGAATTCAGGAAGCAGAGGTTGCAGTGAGCCGAGATGGTGCCGCTGCACTCCAGCCTGAGTGACAGAGCAAGACTCTGTCTTGATTAAAAAAAAAAATGAATTGCTAACAGTGTTGGAGCAAGTGGACAGTCATCTTGGAAAATAATGAAGTGGAACCTTTCCCTACCTTGGAAAAAGCACTACTGTATGTAAAGTGTTCTGGGAGAGATAGGGCTCACAGGACTAAGCCAGGCCAAGAGGCCAGGGCCAGGTGAGTGGGGTTCTGAAGGGAAGGGCAGTGGAGGGCCAGACCTAAGGGTGGCTGGGGAATGACGCAAAGGAGGGGGAAGATGAGCCCCAAGAAGAGAAGCTGGGGGTCGGGTGAGAAGAGGGACTTTTGAGGAGGAGACGTGGTCTTTGGTGAGAAGCTGCCTTTGGCAGAGAGAAATGGAGCCAAGAAATTCTGAGCAAGTTTGAGTGGTTTGAGGAACAGGAGAGACAGCAACTGGGGAGCTGTAAACCCAGCAAGGGCCTGGGTGTGGGGCAGGACAGGACAGTGGGGCAGCGGGAGGATGAAGCAAGGGTCCAGGCCAGACTATCCTCCTCTCCAGCAGCCCCTCCCCTTGGGACTCGGAGGGGAGCTGACATGCAAACCCTGAACACAGCTGTAACCACCAGGGCTGGGCTGAAGCAGAACTCTGGCTCCTGGTACCATGGCTGGCTGGCAGAGGTGGGGACCCCCAGAATCCGTGGATCACAGGGACCCATTTCTGGACAACCTCAAGTGCCCAGCCTGTTGGACAGTGAGATGCTCCTCAGATGGTGGCAGAGTGCACTCTACCCTGTCAGCTTCAGGGGATGGAGACTGCTGCTGTAACGGTGTTCTGAGCAATGGGACAGAGGCACTCAGACAGTCCTTTGAGTCAGCCATGCCACAAATGCTAAAGAGGTCCAGGTGCCAGGGACTCAGCCCCCAGCTCGAGAACCCCTGGGCTGTGAGGGCACCAGCTGCCAGGGCTGTGAAAGCCATCTGTTTACATAGCCTGTTGCCCACCTGTCCCTCATATCTAGAATTGTGGGGAGGAGGCTTTGAGGTGCTGCAATGCAGCCAGCCTAGTGGCACCCGCACTGTGTGGAGGCCACGTTCCCCGACTCCTTTGTTTCATTGTTTTTTTATTTTGTTTTGTTTTTTGAGACAAAGTCTCCCTCTGTTGCCCAGGCTGGAGTGCAGTGGCACGATCTCAGCTCACTGCAACCTCCTCCTCCCAGGTTCAAGAGATTCTCCTGCCTCAGCCTCCCGAGTAGCTGAGAATACAGGCACACACCACCATACCCGGCTAATTTTTCTATTTTTAGTAGAGACGGGGTTTCACCATGTTGGGCAGGCTGGTCTTGAAATCCTGACCTCAGGTGATCTGCCTGCCCCGGCCTCCCAAAGTGCTGGGATTACAGGCATGAGCCACCGAAACTGGCCCCGACTCCATTGTTTTGTTGTTGTTGTTGTTGTTTTTTTATTGCATTTTAGGTTTTGGGGTACATGTGTAGAACATGCAAGACAGTTGCATAGGTACACACATGGCAGTGTGTTTTGCTTCCTTTCTCCCCTTCACCCACATTTGGCATTTCTCCCCAGGCTAACCCTCCCCAGCTCCCCCACCACCGCCGCTGGCCCTCCCCTTTTCCCCCCAATAGATCCCAGTGCTTAGTACTCCCCTCCCTGTGTCCATGTGTTCTCATTTTTCATCACCCGCTTATGAGTGAGAATATGTGGTATTTCATTTTCTGTTCTTGTGTCAGTTTGCTGAGAATGACGTTCTCCAGATTCATCCATGTCCCTACAAATGACACGAACTCATCATTTCTGATTGCTGCATAATATTCCATGGTGTATATGTGCCACATTTTCCCAATCCAGTCTATCATCAATGGGCATTTGGGTTGATTCCAGGTCTTTGCTATTGTAAACAGTGCTGCAGTGAACATTCGTGTGCATGTGTCCTTATAGTAGAACGATTTGTAGTCCTTTGGATATATACCCAGTAATGGGATTGGTGGGTCAAATGGAATTTCTATTTCTAAGGCCTTGAGGAATCGCCACACTGTCTTCCACAATGGTTGAATGAACTTACACTCCCACCAACAGTGTAAAAGTGTTCCTTTTTCTCCACATCCTCTCCAGCATCTGTTGTCTCCAGATTTTTTAATGATCGCCATTCTAACTGGCGTGAGATGGTATCTCAATGTGGTTTTGATTTGCATCTCTCTGATGACCAGTGATGATGAGCATTTTTTCACATGATTGTTGGCCTCATATATGTCTTCTTTTGTAAAGTGTCTGTTCATATCCTTTGCCCATTTTTGAATGGGCTTGTTTGTTTTTTTCCTGTAAATCTGTTTGAGTTCTTTGTAAATTCTGGATATCAGCCCTTTGTCAGATGGGTAGACTGCAAAATTTTTTTCCCATTCTGTTGGTTGCCGATCCACTCTAGTGACTGTTTCTTTTGCCGTGCAGAAGCTGTGGAGTTTGATTAGGTCCCATTTGTCTATTTTGGCTTTTGTTGCCAATGCTTTTGGTGTTTTGTTCATGAAGTCCTTGCCTACTCCTATGTCCTGGATGGTTTTGCCTAGATTTTCTTCTAGGGTTTTTATGGTGCCAGGTCTTATGTTTAAGTCTTTAATCCATCTGGAGTTAATTTTAGGGTAAGGTGTCAGGAAGGGGTCCAGTTTCTGCTTTCTGCACATGGCTAGCCAGTTTTCCCAACACCATTTATTAAACAGGGAATTCTTTCCCCATTGCTTGTTTTTGTCAGGTTTATCAAAGATTGTATGGTTGTAGATATGTTGTGTTGCCTCCGGTGCCTGTTTTGTTCCATTGGTCTATATCTCTGTTTTGGTACCAGTACCATGCTGTTTTGATTACTGTAGCCTTGTAGTATAGTTTGAAATCCGGTAGTGTGATGGCCCCTGCTGTGTTCTTTTTGCTTAGAATTGACTTGGCTATGCGGGCTCTCTTTTGGTTCCATATGAAGTTCATGGTGGTTTTTTCCAGTTCTGTGAAGAAAGTCAATGGTAGCTTGATGGGGATAGCGTTGATTCTGTAAATTACTTTGGGCAGTATAGCCATTTTCATGATATTGATTCTTCCTAACCATGAACATGGAATGTTTCTCCATCTGTTTGTGTCCTCTCTTATTTCATTGAGCAGTGGTTTGTAGTTTTTCTTGAAGAGGTCCCTTACGTTCCTTGTGAGTTGTATTCCTAGGTATTTTATTCTTTTTGTAGCAATTGTGAATGGCAGTTCATTCTTGATTTGGCTTTCTTTAAGTCTGTTATTGGTGTAGACGAATGCTTATGATTTTTGCACATTGATTTTATATCCTGAGACTTTGCTGAAGTTGCTTATCAGTTTCAGGAGTTTTTGGGCTGAGGCGATGGCGTCTTCTAGGTATACTATCATGTCGTCTGCAAATAGAGACAATTTGGCTTCCACCTTTCCTATTTGAATACCCTTTATTTCTTTTTCTTGCCTGATTGCTCTGGCTAGAACTTCCAGTACTATATTGAATAGGAGTGGTGAAAGAGGGCATCCTTATCTAGTGCTGGATTTCAAAGGGAATGCTTCCAGTTTTTGCCCATTCAGTATGATATTGGCTGTTGGTTTGTTGTAAATAGCTTTTATTACTTTGAGATACCTTCCATCGATACCGAGTTTATTGAGGGTTTTTAGCATAAAGGGCTGTTGAATTTTGTCGAATGCCTTCTCTGCGTCAATTGAGATAATCATGTGGTTTTTGTTTTTGGTTTTGTTTATGTGGTGAATTAAGTTTATAGACTTGCATATGTTGAACCAGCCTTGCATCCCCGGGATAAATCCTACTTGATCATGATGGATAAGTTTTTTGATTTGCTGTTGCAATTGGCTTGCCAATATTTTATTCAAGGTTTTTGCATCTATGTCCATCATGGATATTGGCCTGAAGTTTTCTTTTCTTGTTGGGTCTCTGCCGGGTTTTGGTATCAGGATGATATTGGTCTCATAAAATGATTTGGGAAGGATTCCCTCTTTTTGGATTATTTGGAATAGTTTCAGAAGGAATGGTAACAGTTCCTCTTTGTGTGTCTGGTAGAATTCGGCTGTGAACCCATCTGGACCTGGGCTTTTTCTGTGTGGTAGGCTCTTAATTGCTGCCTCGACTTCTGACCTTGTTATTGGTCTATTCATAGTTTCAGCTTCCTCCTGGTTTAGGCTTGGGAGGACACAAGAGTTCAGGAATTTATCATTTCTTCCAGGTTTACTAGTTTATGTGCAGAGAGTTGTTTGTAATATTCTCTGATGATGGTTTGAATTTCTGTGGAATCTGTGGTGATTTCCCCTTTATCATTTTTTATTGCATCTATTTGGTTGTTCTCTCTTTTCTTTTTAATCAATCTGGCTAGTGGTCTATCTATTTTGTTGATCTTTTCAAAAAACCAGCTCTTGGATTTATTGATTTTTTGAAGGGTTTTTCGTGTCTCTATCTCCTTCAGTTCAGCTCTGATCTTAGTTATTTCTTGTCTTCTGCTGGGTTTTGAGTTTTTTTGATCTTGCTCCTCTAGCTCTTTCAATTTTGACGATAGGGTGTCAATTTTGGATCTCTCCATTCTCCTCATATGGGCACTTATTGCTATATATTTTCCTCTAGAGACTGCTTTAAATGTGTCCCAGAGATTCTGGCATGTTGTGTCTTTGTTCTCATTGGTTTCGAAGAACTTCTTTTTTTCTGCCTTCATTTCATTGTTTATCCAGTCAACATTCAAGAGCCAGTTATTCAGTTTCCATGAAGCTGTGCAGTTCTGGGTTGGTTTCTGAATTCTGAGTTTTAACTTGATTGCACTATGGTCTGAGAGACTGTTTGTTATGATTTCAGTTGTTTTGCATTTGCTGAGGAGTGCTTTACTTCCAATTATGTGGTCAATTTTAGAGTAGGTATGATGTGGTGCTGAGAAGAATGTATATTCTGTGGATTTGGGGTGGAGAGTTCTGTAAATATCTATCAGGTTTGCTTGTTCCAGGTCTGAGTTCAAGCCCTGGATATCCTTGTTGATTTTCTGTCTGGTTGATCTGTCTAATATTGACAGTGGAGTGTTAAAGTCTCCCACTATTATTGTGTGGGAGTCTAAGTCTCTTTGTAAGTCATTAAGAACTTGCCTTATGTATCTGGGTGCTCCTGTATTGGGTCCATATATGTTTAGGATCATTAGCTCTTCTTGTTGTATTGATCCTTTTACCATTATGTAATGGCCTTCTTTGTCTCTTTTGATCTTTGTTGCTTTAAAGTCTATTTTATCAGACATGAGAATTGCAACTCCTGCTTTTTTTTTTGCTCTCCATTTGCTTGGTAAATCTTCCATCCCTTTATTTTGAGCCTTTGTGTATCCTTGCATGTGAGATGGGTTTCCTGGATACAGCACACTGATGGGTTTTGGATTTTTATCCAATTTGCCAGTCTGTGTCTTTTGATTGGTGCATTTCGTCCATTTACATTTAGGGTTAATATTGTTATGTGTGAATTTGATACTGCCATTTTGATGCTAGCTGGCTGTTTTGCCTATTAGTTGTTGTAGATTCTTCATTATGTTGATGCTCTTTATCATTTAGTGTGATTTTGGAATGGCTGGTACTGGTTGTTCCTTTCTATGTGTAGTGCCTCTTTCAGGAGCTCTTGTAAAGCAGGCCTGGTGGTGACAAACTCTTGAGTACTTTCTTGTTCACAAAGGATTTTATTTTTCCTTCACTTCTGAAGCTCAGTTTGGCTGGATATGAAATTCTGGGTTGAAAGTTCTTTTCTTTAAGGATGTTGAATATTGGCCCCCACTCTCTTCTGGCTTGTAGTGTTTCCGCCGAGAGATCTGCTGTGAGTCTGATGGGCTTCCCTTTGTGGGTGACCCGACTTTTCTCTCTGGCTGCCCTTAGTATTTTCTCCTTTATTTCAACCTTGTTGAATCTGACGATTATGTGCCTTGGGGTTGCTCTTCTTGCGGAATATCTTTGTGGTGTTCTCTGTATTTCCTGCATTTGAGTGTTGGCCTGTCTTGCTAGGTGGGGGAAATTTTCCTGGATAATGTCCTGAAGAGTATTTTCCAGCTTGGATTCATTCTCTTCGTCACTTTCTGGTACACCTATCAAACGTAGGTTAGGTCTCTTCACATAGTCCCACATTTCTTGGAGACTTTGTTCATTCCTTTTTGCGCTTTTTTCTCTGATCTTGGTTTCTCGTTTTATTTCATTGAGTTGATCTTCGACTTCTGATATTCTTTCTTCTGCTTGGTCAATTTGGCTGTTGAAACTTGTGCATGCTTCGCGAAGTTCTCGTATTGTGTTTTTCAGCTCCTTTAATTAATTCATATTCCTCTCTAAGTTATCCATTCTTGTTATCATTTCCTCGAATCTTTTTTCAAATCTTTTTTCAAGGTTCTTAGTTTCTTTGCATTGATTTAAAACATGTTCTTTTAGCTCACAAAAGTTTCTCATTATCCACCTTCTGAAGTCTAATTCCGTCATTTCATCACAGTCATTCTCCGTCCAGCTTTGTTCCCTTGCTGGTGAGGAGTTTTGGTCCTTTCTAGGAGGCATGGTGTTCTGGTTTCGGGTGTTTTCCTCCTTTTTGCGCTGGTTTCTTCCCATCTTTGTGGATTTATCCACCTGTCGTCTGTGTAGTTGCTGACTTTTCGATTGGGTCTCTGAGTGGACGCCCAGATTGTTGATGATGAAGTATTTCTGTTACTTGGTTTTCCTTCTACCAGTCTAGCCCCTCCACTGTATGACTGTTGAGGTCCACTCCAGGCCCTGCTTGTCTGGGGTACACCTATAGCAGCTGTGGAACAGTGAGGGATGCTACCAGTTTCTTTTTCTGCTATCTTTGTCCCAGAATGATGCCTGCCAAATGTCAGTCTTTTGGATATAGAGGGGTCAGGGAGCTGCTTGAGGAGATAGTCTGTACTTTATAGGAGCTCAAGTGCTGAGCTGTGAGCTCTGTTGTTCATTCAGGGCTGTTAGGCTGCTACGTTTAATTCTGCTGCAGCAGAACTCATAAAAAAAAAAACCTTTTTTTCTCAGATGCTTTGTCTTGGGGGGTTAGGGCTTTCTTTGTGAGTGTCCGTTGTGCTGTCCTGCCTAGCTAGGAGGCAGTCTAGTCACTATTTGCCTGCCGAGGCTCCGCCCTGCTGGTGTGAGGTTCGCCCTGTTGCTACAGGCTCTGCCCTGCTGCCACAGGCTACGCCCTGTGGCGGAGTCTCTCTGTTGTGGCAGGTTGCCTCAGCAACAGCAGGCTGCATCAGCAATGGGCATGTACCTCAGTAGGGGCGGATTGCCTCGGTAATGGTGGACGCCCCTCCCCCACGGAGCTGCACCATCCTGGGTTCAGCTGTGTCCGCACCCAGAGCGTTTAGAATCGCCATTTTGTTTGTACCACTGTGCTACCCCAAACGCTGTTTCCCTGGAATCTCCTGGCCTGGCTCACTGTCCAAGTCCCGTTCAGTCTCAAGTTCAGCCCTCTCAAGTCTCAGATTGCCGGTTCAACAGGGCACCCGGACCGGTGCGCTTTGTGCGGAGCGCTGTGGAGCGCCGCTGTGCTACAGCGCCGGCCGCCGGCTGCACCAGCCAAAACCTCTGCCTGGCGTCCTGCGTCTCTTTTATACCTGGGAATGTCCCCATTCTGTGGGCAACAAAGATCCGTCTGGAAATGCGGCCCTGACTCACCCTCCACGCATTCACCAAGAGCTTCAATCCTGGGTTGTTCTCACCGCGCCATCTTGCCCGACTCCATTGTTGATGGTAGTGGCTGCTGCCATCAAGCTGGCTGCAGCATGGCAGCATGGCTGGGGCTGCACACTCCACGGAGCCAGTGGGAGCCCTATCTCTTCTGAATTGGGACAGGAGCTCTTTGTGCTGCTGCAGCTGCCAAAACCGAGGCTGCAGACCCAGGTCTCCTGCTTCAGGAGGGCAGGGCTACAGCCGCCCAAACTGCAGCTGTGGATTTGAGGCTCCCTGTGCTCTTGAAGGAGCTGGGAAGAGGCAGGATCTGCCCTCTTGGGTGCAGCTGCAGCCACTGGACCTGTGACTGCAGACTTGGGCCTCCCACTCCATGAAGCAGGCAGGAACCAGGGACAAGTGGGAGCCCTTCCTCTTCTGAGTTGGCAGGGCAGCAGCTCCTGGGTATAGCTGTGGCTTCCTCCCAGGCACAGGACCCAGGCACCTCTGCAGCCTGCAAGCTTGAGCACCCCAGAAAGGACCTCCCAGTCTCTGCAGGCTCACGGGTGTCTGCTCCCACTGCCTGGCCTCTCTTGGCTCCCAACATCTGCTCCTATCTCACAGCAGGGTTGGGGCCAAGCCCTGGGGCCATGAATGGCAGTGGGAGGCAGATAGTCCTGGGTGGAAGTGAGCAGGGTCCCCAGTAGGGCCCGACCTACAGGCCAGGGAGGGCTTGAAGGCTGGGGACCAGGCTGCCAGTCCTGCAGACTGGAGTGGGAACTCATGGTACCTCTTCTAGGCCTGCCCATGGCTACCCATGGACCAATTGGCATGCACTTCCTCCCCTCTGAGGCCCACAAATGCCCTAGGCTCAGCAAGAGGATGGCCTGAGGACAGAGAGGGCAGACAGATGACACCAGGACAACCAGCTGCAGAGAGGAGTGGTCTCTCTGCTGATAGCTGCAGATGATGGGATGACCAGTTGCAGAAAGGAATAGTACCCTCTCCATTGAGAGCTGCATAGACAACCTGTAGGGAGAGAGGAGCTACCCTCTCTACTAAAAGCTTCAGAGACCTACAGAGACATCCAAATGACTTGCCTGCATGGAGCAGCCATCCTCTCCAGGGCCTCCTCTCTGCTGACAGCTGAACACTTGAGGGGACGACCTGCCTACAGAGAGGAGCTGTTCTAACACTAAATAAACATCTTCTTCACCATTCACTTGTCTGCGTACCTCATTTTTCCTGGATGCAGAACAAGAACTCAGGCAAAGGCACTGCGGTCACAGAGGTTTCTGGCCAGAAAAATTGACACCCCAGAGATCCTGTAACATTGTGACTTCGCTGGAGCTGGGAAGCATGCCCTGGTGGTGAAGAGGAATAAGGAGCACGACAACCACAGATACATGTCTCCCCTCAGATGCCAGGCTCGGCCTCCTGGGCTGTAAACTTCCTCATCTGAAAAATGGGAAGAAACACTCACTTCATCCAGCTGTAGAGAGGATGAAATAAATGAACATGTGCCAAGAACTCAGCACAGTGCCTGGTGCATAGAAAATGTCAGCTAAAATTATAATGGTAACTACACATGGCTCTCCTACACTAAAACATGTTTAAAAGCAGAAGCTGAGGAGCTGTGTGATGGGAAAGATCTGGAAAGGGTCTACAGCAGAGCTTCACAGTGTGGTCCATTGAACCTGTTAGAAATGCCTACCTGGGCCCCGCCCCAGAGCTGCTGAATCATACTATGGGGGCCTGGCCTGGTGAGCCCGCCAGGTTCCGGGAGGCCTGCCGCTGGCTCTTTTGAGCCTCCCTGCCTGAGAAGGTTGCTCTGGGTATGAGCTGTATAAGCTACTGGTCCTAAGCTGCACAGACATCCCCTGGACAAATGGGATCACAGCGAAGACGCAGCATCTTTCCGACTTCTCACTTGGAAAAGCACTTGTGGTGTTCGGGCCCTACCCTGCCTTTCTCCCATTTGAGAGAAGAGTCCCAAGTCACCTAACCAGAGGACAATCAGTGGTGATCATGGGCAGCCCTGATGAACCCTGACACAAATCTATACCAGTTCCCCCTAGGAAGCTGCACAGGGGACCTTTCTATGAAAATTTAAAAAAAGGCCAGTGTTGTTAAGACAATGAACTCATTCCAGGACCCCATCACCTGTTAGGAAGAAGGGAGGGCATCTGTGCTGGGCTGGCTTTCACTACATTAAAAAAAATTAAACGTAGGTGCCGGGTGAAGTGGCTCATGTTTGTAATCCCAGCACTTTGGGAGCCTGAGGCAGGTGTATCACTCGAGGCCAGGAGTTTACGCCAGCCTCAGTAACATGGCGAGACCCCCTCTCTACTAAAAATACAAAAAATTAGCCAGGGGTGGTGTCGCATGCCTGTAATCCCAGCTACTTGGGAGGCTGAGGCATGAGAATCACTTCAACCCCAGAGATGGAGGTTGCAGCAAGCTGAGATTGCACCACTGCACTCCAGCATGGGTGACAGAGGAAGACACTCTCTCTAAAAGAAAAAAAGTTAAACTTAGGGAGTAAATACACTATCATAAGATGCATGCAACTAATATCTTAATCCAGAGTTTAAAGAAAGCTATTTGCTAAGCACAGAGGAAGAAAAAGATCATCATTACAGTAAAAGTGCTGGATCCCCAAAGCTATGAAACACTGCATCTCACTAATGATGGCGTCATGGGAGAACTTTCTCAGACCTTTTACAGAGTATCTAGAAACATCAACTCATTGATGGGGAGCACAGCATTACCACAAAAACACGTGTAGAGCCTGTTTATTGCATAACTAGCAGGCACAAATTCCAAAACGATTTTACAACACTTAAAGGGTACAATAATTACAGGAATACAATGTACAATAAAAAGTACAGAATAATGAGTGACAAGGATCAAACATGTTGGAATAAAAGGCATCTCAGTTTTTCTATGCAGCATTTTCTTTTCTAAGAACACATGTTACCTTCAACCAGGAGAAGGAAAGAAAGAAAATTATACTATTAGAAAGCTCATGGGTGCCACTGAGGACAAAAACAGGCGAGTTTTGCTCTCAGTTCCGCAACTGAATCGCTGGAGGAGCCCTGCACAGCTCCTGAGTTGTGCGTTTAGAGTTCCGATTACATGAAATGCTGTGTTTGATCTTTGGGCCCAATTCAATGTTCTTTGGCAAATAAGAACTATTTGCATTCCAAGGCAGATGACGATTTCTGTGAAAGGAGCTTGGGGTAGAGCTTTTTCCTTCTGTTCAGCCAAGTGCCAGTTTCATAAAGTGCACCTCTGCCCTATTGGCTTCGGGGGAAGGGTGGCATACGGGGAGGAAGGGATCACTGAGAATACAGGGTAAAAAAATGACGTTACCGAACTCAGACATTGCTAGTGCAAGGTATGGAATCCATGTGCAAAAGGTGGCTGGAACAAATGTTCAGACAAGGTGCGATTTGCCAACAGGAGCAGAGAATTCTGACACCAGATCTCAGATGAGGCTAAGGAAATGTGCGGGGCACGTACGGAGAGGACAATTGCAGCCCTCCACTGGCTGCGTGACTCCACCAGCTGTGGTGGGCCGGCGGAAGGACTTCTGTTCAGAGTTTTGGCACCGGAGGCTAGCTGAGCACTCTTCTGAGATATTCTTACAACTGGAAATGCTTTGTTGGTCCCCATGTTCCTTGACTTTCTCTAGGGCCATAAAGACAACATCCTCTATTGCAGGTCCTCAAACATTCCAAGGAAAACACTGCTTCACCTCCTGCAGACAGCTCATCTTCCAGAGGCCTCTACAGAAGCCTGTCCTCCCTGGGACAGCAGGGGCAGGGGTTGGCAAGAAAAAGGAGGGTCAGCTAAGTACACGAAATCTGCAGAAAAGGCTATCAGATGGTGCCTGAACTTAAGGTAGCATGTGCCCTTCTAGAAGGCATCCCCAGAGCATCCAACAGCAATGTGGCACTTAGGGCTGTGCGACAAACAAGTGGAAGAGTCTTTTGGAGCTGTGGACCCTTTTCCCATGCTACTCACAGTGTAGCAAAATGCGACAAAAGCACCCACACACGGTGACTTGGTAAAGCAAGCACCGCTGGGGTGCTACTTTCATGACAGCATACGGTCAAGCTATAAAGGTGTGCGTGAATCAGTCCTGTGAAAATAGAGGCTTAGTTATTAGGCTGTATTGAGGCAACTTGTACTTTCTTGTGTCTTCTTCATGTGAATGAAGGACCACTATGGGACAGAACATACGGGTAAAAACAGGAGTGACAGCAACGTAACGCACAGAGTAGGCCGGCTCCCTTATGGGTAAGGCTCAGAGCCTGCTCCAGGCGTGTCCGGGGAAGCCAGGCCCTCACACTGCACAGCTTACAGGGCCCTGGGGCTATGAGCTGGCAGCCTGGAGGCTACAGCTCACCTGCACATGGTCTCTGAAAATGTTCAAAATGGTTGCCAACATTTATAAATGGAGAGATGGCACCAAAAAAAAAAAAAAAAAATCTAGGTTTCTTGTCTCTTGAAAAACCAAAGCTGTGGCCGCCCTAGGCCCACTTTTCCACATGGCAACAGGAGTGGAGCTGGTGGCTACTGCCCCTACTGGGTAGGCCATGGGCTCCCCTTAGTCCCATCTGTCCCACTGCCGTGTACCTGGTTCCCTTCACTCGTCCACAGCACCAGCCCTAGATCAGGGTTTGAACCACACACACAGAACAGCTGCAGTAAGCAGGAACAGGAAGATGCTTTAACATTCAGAAGAAAAAGGGGCTTTTTAGTAACTAAAAAACAATCTGAGCATGTTCCAGCACTTACACCTTACTCTTTCAGAGCTTTGGGGCAGCAGGCAGCCAGCTGGAGCATACTCTCTAGGGGACTATAGAAAGTTGATGTCTAATTTTTAAGTACTCGTGAGGTGATGGAGGAGACACTAAGTCAGATGATTGCATACAATACATCTTTCCTTACAAGAAGTCCTTAAAGATGATGAAGAATGCGAAGCAACTCATGTGAGCAAGCTGTAAGTGGTTAGAGACGCAAGCTAACTGGATGAAAGGTACAATACAACGTCAGGGAGTAGATGATTTTTTCTTACTACATTTCATGGCAGTGATTCCTGAATGGGTGGCACAAAATTAGTTCTGGCTTGTTAGACTAACACTTCTCTTTGCTGCAGGTTTTGAACAAACTGTTTGGCTTATAGGGGTGAGGGAGAGCACCTGACAATGGGTGGTGGTGTGGGTGGAGCTCCTACCCTGATCATGGCTTCATGAGACGTGCTGTAGCAGGTGAATGCTTTATCTCATTCCATGGAGCCTTCAAGATGACAATAAAATGTCGAGATAGGAGCTTGAGATAACAAAATTAAATGATAGAACATGTAACAGGGTAAAACAGAAGAAATTCATTGTTTCTGTAATTGATCCTACAGGATCAATTCATTGTTTCCTCCCAAGAGAGACTGTGACACTAGTTTTAAAAAATGGCAAAGTCCTTTCTCTACAGACATGCTTGGAGATACCCCAAACTTAACTATTCTGAAGTAGGCTGGGAAATTCACTTATTACATGATGCTTGGTAGGAAACAAATGATTTTTTTTTTTAGCCAAACTCTCTCAAGAAAATGTTTTACAAAAAATCTCATTTATAGTTTTAGGCATAGGCAGGGAGTTTTAAGGGACGGAAAAGTTTTCACAAATTTCAGACAATGAAACTATACTTTTGGATGTATGTGATCAACTCAACAGTTGACAACACAGCCAAACATCAGAAACTAAATTGGCAAATAGGCACAAAATAAGGCAAGTGGGTTAAATTAATAGTTGAAAATTTGTTAGAAAACATGCAAAAATAATACTGAGTTTTCTTTTAAAAAGTTTTAAACCGTCATTAAATGTTTCTTTTTGTAGAAATCTGAAGAGTTCTGTATCTGAATTTGAAATTGGACTTTAAAAAGCCTAGAAAACCAAGGAGGCGGCGCCCTGCCTGTGTCAGTTGTTGTTTTCTTTGGTGGTGATGGTGACCAGCTGCTTGGCAGCCTTGGCGATGTCGTACGCACACTGGATGACCTGCTGCGTGACCAGCTGGACGTCTGTGGGTGAACCTGGGTCCCCCGGGAGGGTCTTCTTGCACTCTGACTGCAGTCGGTAGGCACTGGATGTCAGTAAACGAAGGGAAGTCCTCACCATGTCAGACTTGGGTTTCTAAAAGGAAAAAGATAGCTGTTCACCCTGAAATGCAGGACAGACGTCCAAGAGCAGGGGATGAACTTTCTTTCAAAGCAAACCAAGCCAGAGTGGAAGGCAGTTTGGTCCTGCCCTTTCTCAATGGGGTTACTTTACACACTCCAAGCTTCGCAGCTCACAGCGTAAGAGATGCTGAAATATTCTGATTCAAAGATCAAAGTACACGCAGGGTAATTTTAGTAGTATGTACTATTTTGAGGTAGTTCTTCAAAAATATTAGTCCATGTGGATAAAATATTCCAGAAAATCCTATAAATTTAAAAATTTAAAAATTTGCCTTTTAGCACATGATTTGTACATCCTTGTCTGATTAAATCAACATTCATGTAAAAGAAAAAGATTTCAAAGCTCTATATGACTGCAAATTTTAAAACTTCATGTGCTACAAAAAGGCTAATATAATATATAGGTCATAAAGAAATTTCTTGCTATTTATTTAAAAGGATTTAAACCAAGCAAGTAGGAAGTGACTTACTTTGGGGAATAATGCTGCCATTTCTGTAACAGCTACGTGTATCCTCTCTGAGCAGGGAATATAACTGCAACAATATAGAAGTTATTCAATCACAGTAAAAATGCTTCAGAGGCAAAGAGTACTCAAGTGTTAGAACAGCTTCTGTTTACATTCCCTTAATGAAGGGGCTGGGGCTCCAGCCAGCCGGCTGTGCATCCCACATCAGCAGAGGGTGCACAGTTATAAAGCAGGGCTCCCATTGCTTCCTGGAAGTTCAATCTGATGAAAAGGCTCCAGGTATGAAATACGGCAACATAACACTCCTGGCCAGGTGAGGCCACACGACAGTACAGAAACATAATTCACCCTCCTCACATCAGTCATTTACTTCTCATGTGTTTCATTGTCCTAATTTCCAGAAAGAGAAAAAATTTCCATGCAAAAGGCCACAAAAATAAAAAATAAAGCACTGAAAACATTCCTTAAAATTATAATTGGAGCCTCTCAAGTAGCTAGAACTTCAGGCATGTGCCGCCATGCCTGGCTGATTTTTAAATATCTTTTTGTAGAGATGGAGTCCCACCCACTATGTTGCCCAGCCTTGTCTTGAACTTCTGGATTCAAGTGATTCTCTTGCCTTAGCCTCTAAAGTGCTGGGATTACAGGTGTGAGCCATGGTGTCTGGCCCTTTCCTCATTTTTTAAACCATGAAGTTGGCTTCTGAATAGATTGTCATAAGGAACTTATGTACTTCCCCTTTGTAATAAATCTAGTTTCAAAACTATTTTAATTAAAATTGTTGGCTGGGTGTGGTGGCTCATGCCTGTAATCCCAGTACTTTGGGAGGCCGAGGTGGGTGGATCACCTGAGGTCAGGAGTTCGAGACCAGCCTAGTCATTATGGTGAAGCCCCATCTCTACTAAAAGTACACGGGTGTGGTGGTGCACGCCTATAGTCCCAGCTACTCAGGAGGCTGAGGCAGGAGAAGTGCTTGAACCCAGGAAGCGGAGGTTGCAGTGAGCCAAGATCATGCCACTGCACTCTAGTCTGGGGGACAAGAGTGAGCTTCTGTCTCAAAAAAAAAAAAAAAAAAAAAAAGTGCTTACATTTTAAATTAAACCGTTACATTTCAATAAAATGGTTTATATTATCCAAAAAATGCCTCCATGGGAAATCCTGACTTTTACCTTTGTGAGCAATTAGAATCATAAACCATGTAATAACACTAATTCCAATGCATAAGGAGTTATTTAACTTGTAATATTGATGGGGCAACAACCCAGCTGCTCACACAGATTTCAGAAAGGGAAAAAAGCAATGTCCACAGCTACCACTTGTATCATGCATATTAACAAACTGTGTGTCTGTTCATATCATAGTGACTGAGAACCACACTGCAGAGTTTTATATTCTGTTGGTTATGGTTTCATTTTTGAGAAATACGATTCACCCTTTCCTCTTGCTACACAGAGAGGGAATCTTTCCTAAGGCCATTTCTCAAAAGCTCATTCATTATGAATTATTTTGGGAAGTCCTCGACAAGATAGAAAAGCAAACACACCCAGATTAATGAGGAAGCCTCCTCCTCTAATAGAAGGAGTCCATGTTCACAACTTCACATTGGTATCTTTCCTCAAAAAGGTTTTCATGCACATATGTCATAATCCCTGAATTGTATGTGTGTCTGTGTGAGGACAGGAGTGAAGCTGGAGGCTCAGGAGACAAGACCAGATTTCAGGAATGTCAGAGGCTGGGGCTGTTTGCATGGATCAAGAGGAAAAAGGCATGGATTTAATTTGTACAATTCAAGGTTATAAATAAAAGCATCTCAGGTATCTAAGTAACCAACAATTTTATAGCATTGAGCAATTAATGAAATGTAAATTCTCTAGACCAATTCTGGTTTTAAACCAAAAGAATGAGCTAATGATTAAAATCTCCACATCATTCTTTCATGATCTTTTTTTTTTTTTGAGACAGAGTTTCACTCCAGGCTGGAGTACAGTGGCACAATCTCAGCTCACCACATCCTCCACCTCCCAGGTTCAAGCAATTCTCCTGTCTCAGCCTGCTGAGTAGCTGGGATTACAGGCATGAGTCACCACACCCAGCTAATTTTGTATTTTTACTAGAGATGGGGTTTCTCTGTCTTGGTCAGGCTGGTCTCCAACTCCCAACTTCAGGTGATCTGCCCATCTCAGCCTCCCAAAGTGTTGGGATGACAGGCGTGAGCCTGGTCTACGGTCTTAAAAAAAAAATCAGATCATGAAATATGTTGTCAAATTAATTTGTACATTTTAAACAAAGAAAGGAAAAAAGTGGCTCCCAAAATGCTGGGATGACAGGCGTGAGCCTGGCCTATGGTCTTAAAAAAAAAAATCAGATCATGAAATATGTTGTCAAATTAATTTATACATTTTAAACAAAGAAAAAAAAAGAAGCTTCCCAATTGTACCAAGTACCATATTGCATCTTTGAAGCCAGAAATGGCCTCAGGGCAGATATTTATATTTCTGACAACTATCAGAGACAGCAATACAAGGCAAGCACAATTTTTAGTTTGAAATACAAGCTCAGCACTTCTGTACTAGAGGAAACGAAAAGCAAAGCACATTGACAAATGGGGTCATGGTCCTCGGGAAGGAAGTGTTATTGTATCATGATTACATTAAATGCAGACAAAAACTGTTCTTTGGCTGGGAATGGTGGCTCACGCCTGTAATCCCAACACTTTGGGAGGCTGAGGTAGGTAGATCACTTGAGGTCGGGAGCTCAAGACCAGCCTGGCCAACATGATAAAACTCCATCTCTACTAAAAATACAAAAAAATTAGCCAGGTGTGGTGGCACATGACAGTAATCCCAGCTACTTGGGAGGCTGAGGCAGGAGAATCGCTTCAACCTGGGAGGCAGAGGTTGTAGTGAGCTGAGATCGTGCCACTGCACTCCAGCCTGGGTGACGGAGTGAGAGTATGTCTAAAAAAAAACCAAAAACAAATGAAAAAAACCCTTGTACTTTGGAAAGTCAAGGGACACTTTGCTTTCTGTAATCAAATATGAAGTCACTCACTGCTAAGACTATGGTCCTGAGCAAAGTGAGTGTGCTTATAACTAGTGAGGTCCAAAAGGTGTGGTATGAAGAGGATGCCTGGGAAAGGAGGGAGAAGGAAGCCAAATCATTATACAATTTTTACAGGAGGCTAAAAAGTTATGCAGGTTTCTCTTTTTCTCAAGGAGCTTCCAGCAGTCCTAACTGTTAGGAAACTAACTCTTATCTTTCAATAAACATGGATTATTCCCCTCTTTCCTAGTGGGAAATAAGGACACTGGGAGATGTGTGAGCCATATAAAAAAGGGTAGAGAAAGGGGAAGTTGGCCCAGCAGTGTAAGGACTGCCAAAGGGAATACAAAGGCCCAGATGCATGTCTGTGTGGAAGAAGAAAACAGAGAAAAGACTAAACAGTACAGCATCCCTTGAACACTTTTTGGTTGTGCAAGGTGTGAAGAAAAATCCTAAACTTTCTTGAACTAATGAAAAGAATAAGATTGTTCTTGGGTTTGACTGAACTCTGCTGCTTTAGCTAATGTTTTATGAGTATCTACTATAGGAAGTATTCCTGCCAACTATGGGAAGCTAGGATGTTACCCCAAGCAGTTTGCAACTCACCAGAAACTCTCAGAGAATTCACTCTCAAAGAACAAAAGGCTAAGTTGGAGCAAGAGCCAGTCCCTTCCTCAGGGTAAGAATTAACTACAGGACATGCTTCTGGTCAGAGTAAGCAGCCTCTCCTCTTATGCACAGAGAAGGATTTGGGTGATGATGAGATCAATTTTTCTTTCTTCCCTGTTTTTTTTTTTTGAGATAGAGTTTCGCTCTTGTTACCCAGGCTGGAGTGCAGTGGCATGATCTCGGCTCACTGCAACCTCTGCCTCCTGGATTTGAACAATTCTCCTGCCTCAGCCTTCCGAGTAGCTGGGATTATAGGCACATGCCACCATGCTTGGCTAATTTTTGTATTTTTAATAGAGACAGGGTTTCACAATGTTGGCCAGGCTGGTCTTGAACTCCTGACCTCAGATGATCCACCCACCTTGACCTCCCAAAGTGCTGGGACTGCAGGTGTGAGCCACTGTGCCCAGCACAGGATACCTTTTGTGTGAGCAGTCCCTTGCCCCCTCCACCTAGAACTAGCATTGTCGCCACCCTAAATATGCCACAATCCTATTTCTAGAGGCATTTATTTTTGGAGCTCCGTAACAAGATGAAAAAAAAGAAAATACCATGTAAATCAAACAAGACAAACCGAACCAAACTTGACATTGTTTTTAAGCCTGTTATGTAGACTTAAGTTTTCAATGACCTTGAAAACTTGAAGTCAGCATGCTGGGAACAGCTGTCATTGAGAACGTGGGCAGCATCCCCCTCTGGGTACATAACACATGCTCTCCCAAAGCATGGTCTTCAGTCCTGCTTACCTGTCATGTTTATTTTCTTGGGCTGCTCTTAAGAGCTCCTGTATGTTTTTGGTGATCTGTTCAGTCTTCCTGATGACATCTTCAGTGCTAGGGAGAGTGGGGCTTGGGGCAACGTGGGGTTCTGCTGCGTCTGGTACCAAGCCATCGCCTGGCCATACCATACTTCTTTGCCGTCCCTTTCGGCTTGACCTGTGAACATTAAAGTTGCAGTTAAACATAGCAGGGGCTTATCAGCTGCTCCTCTGCTTCTAGGAGTCACTTTGTATGCACGAGCTGAATGCAGGCTGGTCTCTTCGTTTCCTTTATCCTGTCTAGCAGGAGACTCAAGGTAAGGCTCCAAAATCGGCTATTTCACTCTACCATTGAGTTGGAAGTGCTGACTCTCATGGAAAGGGTGAAGGAGGGGAAAAAGGAGGGAAATACCTGGAGCAGGGAGGGTGTGTATTATAAAGCCATCCCCAGGTGGGCCAAATCCTTGGGTACAAATGCAGAATGTAACCTAATGTTGTCTTCATGATGAAGTGGGCTAATGACTTTAAATACTCTTCAGATAGATAAGAGATAAATAACGTGCTGGTACAAAGAAAAAGGCCTTTCAGCAATAATGTGAGATGACAAGACAAGTAAACTATGAGCATATGCTTGAATATTTCAAGACTTTATACGTCTGAAAATAGAGAAAAGGGGTGTGGGTGGTGAACTGCTTCTGCTGGCCCAGGCCTGCCAGGTCTCTGTCCCTGGGGAGCCCTCCCTTAGCGTGTACGGCCTGCAGATGTACCCCATGCCATCTGGTTCCATGTCGTTGGGAGTGTTGTCATAGTCACTCTCAGGTGTGCTGTTCTGCTTCTCCAGCCTGGATGCCTATAAGAAAGAAGAGGGGACCCTCATGAGTTTGTAACATGAGACCCTTCTCAGGAGTCTTCCCCAGGAATCATTACCTGTTAGGCTACTGGCCTTCACACCCCAAATCTCATTTGGGACAGGGGCCAACTCTCTAGTGAAAATTTAGCAAAAGATGAATACTGGATCCAGAAATGGCTTCTTTCCTTCTTTGCACCATTTTCTTCTTAGCTCAGTGGCTACTTCGTAATCAGATCCTTGGTACAAACTAACAGAGACATGCAAGGCAACACACCCTACTTTAGTTCTCAAATTTATAACATAATGAAATACAGTTAAAATACAGGCAGGGCGTAGTGGCTCACGCCTGTAATTCCTGTATTTTGGGAGCCTGAGCAGGATGAATGCTTGAAGCTAGGAGCTTGAGACCAGCATGGGCAACATAATAAAAAAAAAAATAATAATAAGCCAGGGATGGTGGCATGCACCTGTAGTCCCAGCTCCTCGGGAGGCTGAGGGGACTGCTTGAGCCCAAGAGTTCAAGGTTGTATTGAGCCATGATCACACCACTGTACTCCAGCTTGGGCAACAGAGTGAGACCCTGTCTCAGAAACAAACAAACAAAAAGACACGCCAGCACTTATATGACCGCAGACCTTCAGTACTGGAAGCCACGTTCAGATAAAACCCCATATGAGAAAATGAAGGGCCAAAAAATCTGGGTGATCCACGAAAGGCCACAAAGTCCACAGAAAAACAGGACAAAGCACCAGGTCTCCTGCCTTCTGCTACCTCCAATAGTTCATGTCTGGACTCAAATCTACCCCTTAAAATATAAAGAATTGGGCCGGGCGCGGTGGATCACGCCTGTAATCCCAGCACTTTGGGAGGCCACGGTGGGTGGATCACGAGGTCAAGAGATCGAGACCATCCTGGTCAACATGGTGAAACCCCGTCTCTACTAAAAATACAAAAAATTAGCTGGGCATGGTGGCGCGTGCCTGTAATCCCAGCTACTCAGGAGGCTGAGGCAGGAGAATTGCCTGAACCCAGGAGGCGGAGGTTGCGGTGAGCCGAAATCGCACCATTGCACTCCAGCCTGGGTAACAAGAGCGAAACTCCGTCTCAAAAAATAAAAAATAAAATAAAATAAATAAAGATTTGGTACAACTGTGAAGATAAGAATTGGGATATAGATTCAAAAGAGGAATCCTAAAAATGTTTTGAACAAGTGGCAGCATTGCTAAAAAGGATCTTCTAGGATGACAAAATTTGAAGGCGACTATATTCCTTTGAGCAGGACTGTGTTCTGAGTATTTCATGAAAACTATTTTCCCTCAGTATTTATTTTACCCACAATGTTTGAGAATTTCTTTGGAACAGATATCAATGGAGGCTGATTTAAAATCTAAACCAATTATCTTGTAAAATACAAATGTGAGCTATTTCTAGCTTTACTCCTTGAATTTCATCCAAGTTAATCAAAACATGTGACTAAGGAGTTTTATTGATGCTGCAATAAAATGTGGCTAAGGACACAGATATAAACTAAGAACTTCGTTTAAACATATGGAGACCCCATAGCTTCATCCAAAAGAATGGCTACTTTTGAGTAAGCTGGTCTAAGAAGGTCTACATGGCCAGGAGTGGTGGCTCACGCCTGCACGTTGGGAGGCCAAGGTGGGCAGATCACTTGAGGCCAGGAGTTTGAGGCCAGCCTGGGCAACATGGTGAAATGTCATCTCTACTAAAAGGACAAAAATTAGCTGGGTGTGGTAGTGGACACCTATAGCTCCAACTACTCGGGAGGCTTAGGTGAAAGGATCTCCTGAGCCTAGGAGGCAGAGGTTGCAGTGAGATGAGATTGCACCACTGCACCCCAGCCTGGGTGAGAGAGCTAGAACCTATCTCATGAAAAAAAAAAAAAAGTCTCCATAAAGCCTGACTGTCACTCCTTACTGGTAGGTACAGGCAAGGCAGCTGGCCCTATGTGGAGGAGCCCCCCTTATTCATGCCACACTTTGTTTGCTATCCCCATAAACTCTCCTTCTGCTCCCAGGCAGGGCACATGTTCTCCTTCTCTGTCAGTTGAGGTCTTCCATTCACAACTCCACACATGCTCTGCTCAGTTTCCAGCACTCAAATACAAGATACTTGCTATGGGCTCCTAAAATTCACTGCAAACTCATGCATCCTGCAGCCACTCAAATCCATCTGGCAAATGATTAAATGTTGGCTGGGAACCATATGGGGAGTCTGTAAAGGTAATTTCTATAGAATCTACAACTTTGATGATCCATTTGTTTATATCTTCTACCAATAAGTAGTAAGTAGTTCTGCTTCTCTTGCCTTGTTTTGATCTGGCTTTATGAACAGTGAGTTTGGCTCCCAGAGGTCTATAATAGGAAGATCATGGGCAAGCACTGTGGTATTCCAGCGATGAGCTTTGAAAACCAAAAAGAAAGAAAGAAAACACTTTGGGAGGCCAAGGTGGGTGGATCACGAGGTCAAGAGACTGAGAACATCCTGGCCAATGGGTGAAACCCCATCTCTACTAAAAATACAAAATTAGCTGGGTGTGGCGGCATGTACCGGTAGTCACAGCTACTTGGGAGGCTGAGGCAGGAGAATAGTTTGAACCCAGGAGGCGGAGGTTGCAGTGAGCTGAGATCGCACCCCTGCACTCCAGCCTGGCAGAAAGAAGAAAGACAGAAAGACAGGGAAAGATGGGTAAAGAAGGGGAAAGACAGAAAGAAAGAAACAAAGAACCCCCAAACCTTTCATATCTTTCACAGAAAATACCTTTTTCTTTTTAAGGTGGAGTTTCACTTTTGTTGCCCAGGCTGGAAGGCAATGGTGCAATCTAGGCTCATTGCAACCTCTGCATCCTGGGTTCAAGCAATTCTCCTGCCTCAGCCTCCTGAGTAACTAGGATTGCAGGCATGTGCCACCACACCCAGCAAATTTTCTATTTTTAGTAGAGATGGAGTTTCACCATGTTGGTTAGGCTGGTCTGAAATTCCTGACCTCAGGTGATCTGCCTATCTCGGCCTACAAAAGTGCTGGGATTACAGGTATGAGCCACCATGCCCAGCCAACCTTTTTCTTTTTTTTTTTTCAGACAGGGTCTTGCTCTGTTGCCTAGGCTGAGCACAGTGGTGCAATCTCAGCTTGCTGCAGCCCCGACCTCCCAGGCTCAAGTGCTTCTCCCACATCAGCCTCCCAAGCATCTGGGACCATAGGCACCCGCCACCATGCTCAGCTAATTTTGTATTTTTTTTTTTTTTTTTTTGAGATGGAGTTTCGCTCTTGTTACACAGGCTGGAGTGCAATGGTATGATCTTGGCTCACCGCAACCTCCGCCTCCTGCATTCAGCCAATTCTCCTGCCTCAGCCTCCTGAGTAGCTGGGATTATAGGCACGTGCCACCGTGCCCAGCTAATTTTTTGTATTTTTAGTAGAGATGGGGTTTCACCATGTTGACCAGGATGGTCTTGATCTCTTGACCTCGTGATCCACCCGCCTCGGCCTCCCAAAGTGCTGGAATTACAGGCGTGAGCCACCGTGCCCAGCCTAATTTTGTATTTTTTTTTGTAGAGACGAGGTCTCACTATGTTGCCCAGCCTGATCTCAAACTCCTGAGCTCAAGTGATCCTCCAACTTTGGCCTCCCAAAGTGCTGGGATTATAGGTGTAAGCCACCTGGCCCTAACTAACGTTTAAGTTTTATTTTGGTTTTTATATATACACTCACACATAGGTGTGTGTGGATACATACATACATATATGAATAGATAAAAATCTTGCATTTAAGTAATTATACTGAAAAATTTGCCCATAGCTACTCAAGTGGAAAACAATCTAGAAATAGAATTAAACCCAGAAAATTCTACATTTTTATAATGAATCTTTTTGCCTTCCCTGATGAAAATGTGATAATCACAAATCAAATGCATTACCCTCAATGATCAAAAGTACCAAGTTTCATTTAAACATTTTAGAAGAGTAGTGACTCATATACCTAATGAATACATTCAGTAAATGTTTCTCAAGTATGGAAAACAACATATAGCAGCAACCACCCAGGAAATCAGTTACTTACACATTAGTTAATTTCTTCATTGTTGTCAACAAAAGCATATGTACAGAATTTCAGTGTAGCATTTAATTTTATCAAAATTATTATAAACATGCAGAGCCAAAAGCTATTGGTTAAGAGTGCTGCTCTCCCAAAGCTGTTAATATGGTTACCTTATAGCTGGTGCTGGTTCAATTTATTTAATAGATTTGCAGTTTTCTCTGAATAAAGACATGCCATAAAAATCTAAACTCATGATAAAGCTGTCAGGAACAATCAGGGTGATCAGTTTAAATGATTTTTATACAAAACTTTGTCACAGTAAGCAGTCCTTGCAATGATTTTCAAGGCTACCATAACAAATTAAAAAACAAAACAAATTTTACAGTAAACAAAAGAGGTTTGGCTTAGAAAATTTCTAATCAGATATTTAACTGTCTAACTGTCCTTTAGTTGTAACTGGGATTTTCTTTTTTTTTTTTTCTTGAGATGGAGTTTCAATCTTGTTGCCCAGGCTGAGTGTAATGGTGCGATCTTGGCTTACCACAACCTCTGCCTCCTGGGTTCCAGCAATTCTCCTGCCTCAGCCTCCCATGTAGCTGGGATTACAGGCATGTGCCACCACACCTGATTACTTTTGTATTTTTAGTAGAGACAGGGTTTATCCATGTTGGTCGGGCTAGTCTCAAACTCCTGACCTCAGGTGATCCACCCGCCTTGGCCTCCCAAGTGCTGGATTATAGGTATTAGTCACTGCACCCAGCATAACTGGGATATTTTAATGAAAACATTACAGTTCAATTTCAGAATTGCTCAGGAAACTTTTTTTTTTTTCTTGAGACAGAATCTCACTTTGTCACCCAGGCTGGGGTGCAGTGGTGTGACCTCAGTTCACTGTAACCTCCACCTCCCAGGTTCAAACAATTCTTGATTCTTGTGCCTCACCTTTCCAAGTAGCTGGGATTACAGGCATGTGCCACCACGCCCAGCTAATTTTTGTATTTTTGGTAGAGACGGTTTTGCCATGTTGGCCAGGCTGGTCTCAAACTCCTAGGCTCAAGTGATCCAGCCACCTTGGCCTCCCAAAGTACTGGGATTACAGGTATGAGTCACTTAACTTTAAGTACAATTTATCAAGGAATTTTTTTTTTAATTTAGTACAATAATATTTGTTGTTTTTTTTGAGATAGGGTCTCACTGTGTTGTCCAAGCTGGAGAACAGTACCACAATCATGGCTCACTACAGCCTTGATCTCCAGTGTTGAGCTCAAGTGATTCTCCCATCTTAGCCTCCCAAGAAGCTGAGACTACAGGTATGCATCACCACACTCAGATAATTTTTTACATTTTTTGTAGAGGTGGGATTTTGCCATGTTGCCGAGGCTGGTCTTGAACTCCTGGGCTCAAGCAATCCACCTGCTTAGGCCTCCCAAAGTATGTGAGCCACTGCACTCAGCCAAGATTTCTTAATAGACTACTTTGCAAGTGAAGTAAAGAATTCCAAAAGGGTCAGGGCGCAGTAGCATGTGCCTGTAAGGGTCAGGACGTGGCAGCACATCTCAGCTACTCCGGAGTCTGAAGTAGGAGGACTGCTTGAGCCCAGGAGTTTGAGGCTGCAGTGCGATATGACCATGCCCGTAAATAGCTACTATACTTCAGACTGGGCAACATAATGAGACTGTATCTCTGAAAAATGAAAAAAACGAATCCTGGAAGGGCCTTGGTGATCCATATGCCACTGGAAATAGGAAAGAAAGGTTCTCCACCATTCCTAGGTGTAGAGGGAATGGCAAGGGCCCAGTGCAAATCCCACCTTGCCTGTAAAGGTGGTCCCTTACCAATAGCCACCTTCCTCCTCTTATCTTAGTTACATTATCCTTCCATTAAAAAATAGATGGAGGCTGGGCACGGTGGCTCACGCCTATAATCCCAGCACTTTGGGAGGCCAAGGTGGGTGGATCACAAAGTCAAGAGATCAAGACCATCCTGGTCAACAAGGTGAAACCCCGTCTCTACTAAAAATACAAAAATCAGCTGGGCATGGTGGTGCGCGCCTGTAGTCCCAGCTACTCGGGAGGCTGAGGCAGGAAAATTGCTTGAACTCAGAAGGCAGAGGTTGCGGTGAGCCGAGATCGTGCCATTGCACTCCAGCCTGGGTAACAAGAGCGAAACTCCGTCTCAAAAAAAAAAATAGATGGAGCCAGAATTGGGACATGGATTTTTTTTTTTTTTAAAAGCCTACAGCACCTGGTATTCCCTGGTGGTCTCCCATCCAAGTACTAACCAGGCCCAACCCTGCTTAGCTTCCAAGATCAGACGAGATTGGGCACATTCAGGGTGGTATGGCCTTAGATGGGACATGAATTTTCAAAGCCTGTGCTCTGTCCATGGCTTTCCCAGGTTGCGGGTATATACCACTCTTTGTGAATGAAAGTTTTTTTTTTTTTTTCTTGAGATGGAGTCTCACTCTTCTTGCCCAGGCTGGAGTGCAATGGCATGATCTCGGCTCACTGCAACATCCACCTCCCGGGTTCAAGCGATTCTCCTGCCTCAACCTCTTGAGTAGTTGGGATTAGAGGCATGCACCACAATGCCTGGCCAATTTTTATATTTTTAGTAGAGATAGGGTTTCTCCATGTTGGTCAGGTTGGTCTCAAACTCTCAACCTCAGGTGATCCACCCGCCTCAGCCTCCCAAAGTGCTGGGATTACAGGCATGAGCCATTGCACCTGGCCCATGTAAGTATTTTTTAAACAACAGTGCCTTTGGGAGCAGGGACTGTGCCACCTAAGTCATTAGGACCCTTTCATTGACTTACCAAATGGCTGTGTATGCAGGAAGTGCTTAATAAATACTGCCTGACTATTCAAAAGGGGCTTACCTAAATCATGCACTGCTATTGAGACTGTAAATTATATACCAGCAGGTGGGGTTTAACTAACCCGTACAAGTGAACAGCTTTATGCTAACAGCTGCTTAGACAGGTCCAATGCCACGAGGTATTACAATTCTGATTCAAGATGCAGGGACTTGTAAACCTTGATTTGTCAAGTATGGTGCTGACATAAAATGTGTCACTGGTTTAAAAAAATAAAGGTATAACATTTTAGCACTTCAGTGAGTCCACATATAGCAGCCTCAGTCTGACAACTGTAGCTCTGAACAAATTGAACAGATCTGTCCCATTATAATATCTAACCAGCAGCCAGCTACTTTTCTGGTTCTTTAAAAAGACAGTATGCTCAGAATAAATGCTGTAGGGTGATTTGCAAACTTTGTTAAATATGTGAACATGAGCAGTATGGGGTTAGAGAAAGGGAGGCGCCCCTCAATGGGTGAGCGTGTGTGTGTGCACAAGTGTGCGCCTGATGCACTGTGAGAATCCAGGAGGGAAGCGCTGCCTCATGCAGGATGGAAAGGCAGTTAGCAAGGGGCAAGGGACAGGAGGGCCAGAGCCCAAGCACAAAGCGCCCAGGAGCACGGCCCCTCCTCCAGAGAGCAGACCACTCAGAATGTACTTAACCCTTCGGGCGCTTTCATCCCTCGACCAGGAAAGTGTGGAGGGGAAGGAAGGCAGAGATGAAGAGGAGGTCACAAGCGCACTCCTCCCGATCTGGAACGGGAAAGAGAAACACACTCGGGAAAATACAAAACAAACCAAAACCTACCACACCTCAGCACCTTCAGTAAAAGAATCCTAGAACACCACACACTATGTGACACGAGTGCTGTAATTTCAGTGACCGCCGGTGACAGGGCCCTCAGAGATGTTTAAATTCTTGGTGAAATACCTCCTGGAAATTACTCTAAATTTCATAAAGGCCGCTTTTCCGTAAGGGAATAAAGATAATTTGTCAAACTTGTCAATAATTTTTTTAATGGATAGTGTAAAAGGCCTATTTCTTTTTGAATCAGGACTGATGTGAAATGAGAAACTATACAAATGATTCTAAGTTGTTATACACTATCAATCTAATTTTTAGTACAGTTATAGAGCCTTCCTGATATGATATCCTTATATTCTAAATTTTTCTAAAATTAAAGAGTACAATGAAAAATAACAAAGCTGCTTTTCCTAAATTTTGTCTTCAGGCATACAAAAATAAGATTCTTAACTTAGGCTGGGCGTGGTAGCTCACGCCTGTAATCCTAGCACTGTGAGAGGCTGAGGCGGGCAGAATGCCTGAGCCCAGGAGTTTGAGACCAGCCCGGGCAACATGATAAAACCCCGTCTCTACAAAAATACAAAAAAATTAGCTGGGTGCTGCAGTGTGCGCCTGTAGTCCCAGCTACTCAGAAGGCTGAGGCAGGAGAACTGCTTGAACCCGGGAGGCAGAGGTTGCAGTGAGCCAAGATCACACACTGCACTCCAGCCTAGGTGACAACGCGAGACTGTCTCAAAAAAAAAAAAATATATATTTTTTAACTTAGTTTAATGGCATTCCCTTTACATCAAATATATCAAATCAAATGGCTTAGAATGTTAAACCAAATATTTTAAAAAGAATTTGAGATAACAGACTCCCAATTACAGTAAAATAATATTGTAATTTTTACCACAATGAAAATTGACAAAATTAAACTAGGGCTTAATTTACGAAACCATGTCTTTGCATCTACCTTGAGAATTTTTTGGGAAACTCTCATAAAATTTGACTAAAGAAATAATAACTTTTGACACTCAAAAAGACAAAATATTACTCTGAAAAAGCATCACATGAAAAAATTTAAACATCTGTAACATCTTGGGCAAAACATGTATTTTTATAATAAAGTAATCCAAAAGAAATACATTTGAAAACCTTACAACATAATATGTATCTCAAAGCAAAATAAGATTGTGAGAATCCTGCTACAGGACACAATCTCTGGAATTCAGTACTTCTAAGACTGATGTAGAGTATTACATCTCCTTTTCTGAGATGACAAAGCCACACTTCCCCTACCACAGGGGGAGGAGCAGGATGCAGAAGCGTACCTAGCAGCACACTGAACACAAGTGGAGAAGCTGTGGAGGCCTGGAGCATTACAGACTCACTTGGGTACCCTACCTGGGCCACAGACTCAAGGCCAGTTGCTTGAAGAGGAGCTGAAAAGACATCTGGGATTCTAAGGGCTCCTTTCCTTAAAGGAACACATCCCTGTCTAGCTCCAAGAAGGAGACACTTCCTTCTGAGAGTGTCCTTTATGGTTTATTTTTGTTTTCGTTTTTGGAAGTGGGTAAGGAAGGAAGGTTTACTTAAAAAAGCTCCAACACTGGCTGCTTGAGAAATAATCATAGATATGGGGGAGAAAAAAAGGAGCAGTTCAGGCAAGAGCCAGAATCCCCAACTTGGTTAGGAAACCATCAGCCCCTGGTCCTGTGTGCTTGTGGGAACACTGCAAGCATCTGTGGACAAGTTAATACAGCAAACACAATGGTAACTCTCTTAGCCCAATTTGGCAAAGCAGAGGTGTGAGGACCTACAGGTTCAGAAGAGGGAACAAAGTAGTCAAGCTGCACAGAGTGAACAGCGGAAGCGCCAGTGGTGTTACTTACGTGCGTGGGGAAGGGCTGGAGTCTTGTCCTGCTCTCTTCGGGGCGGCTCGCTTCTCCCATTGGGAGATATGGTTTCTGACCTGATCCGGTCTCGTACATGGACATGGGCCTACTGCCCCGGGCAGATGGACGTCTCTTTAAGGAAGAGTGGTTGGAAGTGTCTGTGTACTCAGAACCAGTTTGCACCTGATATATATTGGTTGTGGCCTGTTTCCTGAGGTTCGAATTTTCACTCTGGAGTGTTTGAAGCTGAAAGAAATGTTTGGCAGTGGGACTGTGTTTTTTTATAGCAAGCAGAAAAAGCAAACACCAAGTAAATGAATACAACTACTAGTTTTAAACAATAAGGACAGTAACAGCTAGCTGGGCTAAAAGTAAAAAGCCAATACACACAAGGGCCCTTTCTTCTGGATTGGGTGAAACACGGTCAACTCCCTTCATCACATAAACAAATAGCTTCATTTCTAAATCCAGAAAAGTTATGGTTTGGACTTCCTAAAAACAAAATGTCTAACCACTTAAAAATTTGTCATGGTGGGGCTGGGAAATGTTTGCAGGCAAGCTGTACTCTGGATTATTCTAAGGCTGTTTCAAGCAAGAGCTTGAGATCATTAAAACATCATTTAGGTCACTTGCTTTTCAAATGAGCCCCTAGCAATTTGCAAAGGCCAAAAATGACAGCAGACACCATGGAAGCAGCACAAAGATGACTAGGGTTGCTTTGCAAAGCAAGAAAGACAGTGAAGTTCAGCTTACAAAAAATCAGATCGGCTACTGCTTTCCAAAAAGCCAGCAAGAAAAATTATAATCAACAAGTTTTTATTATGTAATACTCTTGATATTCCACACAACTCAGCACTTTGTTAAAAAAAAATAAAAGAGAGAGAGAGAAACCAAATCATGGTAAGTTTGCTATATTAACATATCACAAAGAAAACTGGAAACCTATTGATCTATGAAATCGACATCTTCGCATGGATGCTCCACGCAGCACTCTTGCTTCCGTCTGGTGAGTGATCATCTTTCGGCCAGGGCTGGAATATTTGGCCTTTCTCTCCTTTGGCTTTGTCACCCAAAAAACACGACCTCGGTGGTGTCAGCTTTGAACATGCTAATCTGCCTGGCACCACCCTATTTTAGAGACTGTCATTTGGAGGCCCTGAATGTTCCTTCCATTCCTCACATGCAGGCTGCTTCATGGTGCTGGATGGATTAGAGTTAAGGGGTCAGCAAGGAATCGTGTTACTCTTTGGCATCTGGCATTTTAAACACCATTAACCGCGTCCATTCTGCACAGGGTCCTTCCCTTCTGGTGCGCCTTCATCTTCCATGGGCATTTTATAAGCTGGGTGTGGTATGAGTTCAGCTGTCTACTCTTTGACAGAGATTGTAAAATCTGACCAAATTTCCCACCAGTGCCAAGGTTAAAGTCCACAAGCAACTGTCTGCACCAGAAGATCATTACGTTTTCAGTAGCAAACCCATTCAATGTTAGGAGTTTACTTTCAATTATTGAGAAAGCACCAATCTGTGAAAAATACACCAATAGTAGTTGCTCCTCTTCATTAATTAGCATCTTTTCCAAGCAACTGTTAAATGTGAAAGATCAGATACAAATCATGCTCCTTTGTCAAATTTGATGTATATTAAAAAAAGTTACCTAATTCTGAAATAAAATCAATACATCTTTGCTAAATAAACAAATTCCATATACTTTATATTAATCATACCAAACCGCTGTGAAAGTGTGACTTACTGCCTCTTTCACAAAAAGACCACTCATTCTGTTTCCTTGAAGAGCAAACCATTACAGAATGACAGACTGCTTTTATACCACAAAGGCTGGCAGGGTATAACTCATATCTGCAATTTCCTTTCCAGAGAAAGAACAGCTGTAAAGTGACAAAGCAGCCCTGAACGTTTCTACGTTCCAGAATACAGACAGGCATGAAGTGCCTGTCGAAACTATTCATTAGAGAACCCAGAGCCTAGAGTGAAATGGTCAAGGTTCAAAGACTGAGGTGTGTAACTGACACATGTCCCTCAATGGGGCACTGGTGCATCTGATCATGTTTGTCTGTGTAAAAAGCCGCTATGGCAGTTTTTTAGTTAAGGCCTTGAAATCTGAAACTTTATCCTAACACTTTTCATGCCTGGATTTTGTCTGAATGTGTTCTCATGAGAACAAGTTCCTGGTTTCAATTTCTAAAAATTTTGATACTCTGTATTTTGAGAGATGTCCTCAGATAAATTTTAATGATGTTTATCTTAATAAGAACCAGGCTACACTTTTTTGTTTGGAAGGAGTATAAAGGAAATAAAAAGTTACAATTTAATAGTTTCAAAAATCAAAAGCATTTCTAAGAAATGATGAGATAATCAATAAGCAATGGCAAATAATTTCACTTTGTATTTCTCAAAGAAGTTCAAGACATTTGCTTTCAGAGATATGAGGCTCTCTCTGGTGATTTCCAAAAATACTAAAAGAAGCATTATTAGATTTTATAAGGTGATGTGCAGCAGATTGATTTATAGTGGCAAAATCAGCATGTTTCAGAAATAGTCACCTGGTCAAAATTACTAGTCCAATTAATGGGACAAACTATAATTCATTAAATAAATTTCAAAGAAGGCAGAGAAAGTGCAGGTCCTGCATGTTATGACAAAGGGACTCTTGGTCTGTCTCATTTACAGCTGCACAGCAGCCCTAGACAGGGCTGGGAGACATAGAACAAGTCTGTTCATTTAAGGCTGACTAATCTTCAGGCATTCTTTATTCCCTGCTACCACAGGCTTTGGAAGCCATTTATTTCAAAAAAGTCTCAAAAATGCTCTAGAAGTCAACATCAAAAGAATCCTAGACCAAACCCCAGGCAAAAGCGCAAAGCAATTTCCTTCTCTAGTAAGTAGAGGGCATGGGCCCCTCTTCAGTTCTTCAACCTTCCTTTAGGAAGCAGCACTGAAAAGGGGCCAGGCATACATGGAATGTACCATGTCTTCAGGTCTTCAAAATGATTTGAAAACCTTACTTCAAATGATAGCCTAAAGATACAGATTATATATTTCATTTTGTTTCTACTTAAGGAAAGTATCCAAATCTCATTTTAGAACTGAATGATGGGAGTGATACCCACAAAGTCATGGGCAAAATTTGGAATTTTTTGAATTCCCTTCCTTAGTCTTCTCATAAAGAGTTGCATACACAATCCCTTTCCTACTAAAGATATTCCTTGCTACCATCAGCCATACTCCTTTTAGGGATTAATATATTCATACAGTTCTGATTCTCTTGAAAGGTAATAAATGAAAAAATACTGAGCAAACAAGATTGTTTCTTACCAGTGTGTAGCTCCTGCTAGTACAAATGAAATATTTTTTCTTATTTTTTGAGAACCTACTCTGTGGCAGGCCCTGCTGTAGGCTCTGGGGATAATACAAGTTAGTAGTAAAATCTGGTGAAAAATAAGGTGGGGATGTAGGATAGGGCTGCCAGGGTGGGAGCAGGGTTTGAATGCTGATAAACACATGCCCCTGCCCAGCGCTCTCATTGGCTCTGTCTCCATGGTGTGATCATTCTTCCCTAGCAGTGAAAAGAATCACATCTATGGAGTGCCATCCAGGTTTCCAGGAAGCACAGAATAGTGCAAGGGTTATTCTAATGGGCACAAATGCTTAAATAGACTGTTAGGTTTCTCCTACCTGGGGAACTTATTCTGGATATATTTCATTTCAAATATCCAAATACATCTGCTTCAAAAAGACAACTTGGCCCAAAAGATTTGTAATAGACTGTTATGATAACAGTTTTTCTTCCCTCAGACCACATCACAGTGCCTGGGATTCTTCCTTGTACTATGGGATTAAAGCGTCAACCGTCCTGGCATTTATTAACATGTTACCTTTTTCTGCATAATTCTCAGCTCGTCACTCAAGTTGTTATTCACCTTCATTAGCTGCTGTATCTTGGCCTCAGAAGCCACTAGAGCGTTTTTGACCTCCATAAATTCCTGTACAGTGACTGGTCCATCTGATAAATCTGAATCTAGGCTCTAAAAATAAATTGGGGAAAACGTTCACAATCTGAGACGACGAGAACATTAAAGACTAACAGCTCAAGAATTTCAAATTCTGACCAAGCCAGCTGAATTGCAAAGTTGTCAAACCAAATCAAGGCCTCTGAGGGTCACTATCCTATTTAAAAAATTGGAAAGTCAGTATTTTCTGATGGAATAGGCACTGGGGCTACACATCTGTGCTGACAATGACTGTCAAGGTCTGTCCTATCTTGTAAGCCTTTCTCTCGTTCATTCATGTTTTGTTTTTATTAATTCTTTCATTCATTAATTCTAACATTTTCACTGAATATGAGATAGTGTTCTAGGTGCTTGGGATATATCAGAAAAGAGACAACGATTCCTGCTTCCATGGTGTTTATATCCCAACAGCATGACAGAGGAAAAAAATAAATACAAGTATATATATTGTATGATTGATGGTGATGAGTGCTGTGGGAAAAGATAAGGCAGAGCAGGGCAGGGGACTGCATGTTAAGCGGGGAGCTGGGGTAAGCCTGTGAGTGGGTGAGAGGTGAGCAGAGCCCCGGGAGGTGAGGGGATCAGTCACATGGATCTAGAGGAAGAACATTCCAGCCTGCAGTGGAGCTCAGCTAGAGGGAGCAGGTGTGTGGGATGGAGCAGGCAGGAGGCCAGGCAGTTGACAGAGGGCCTGGTCACAGAGGGTCCTGGAATGACCTCGGCTCTCACTTAGTAAGCCAGGTGGCTTCCGAGAAGTCTGGGCAGAACTATCTCCTGCATCTGCTAATGGCGCCATCTTTCTCACAGTCATGTAGGCTGGAGAACTCCAAACACATCTTCTATAAGTCTGTCTCCCCATTTCAACCTTCTGACTTATTGCCAAGACTTTTCTATTCTACCTTCCTATTTATCCATTCTCAAATGATTGCCAAGCCCCATCTGTGGGTGAGTCCTAGGGATCAGCAGAGGTTGCACAGCCTGGGGCCCTGTCACCTTCACCGGCTCACACTCTGGTGCCGAAGTCTCTCCTACCCGTACCATCCTAGCCTGGGTCCTGGGGTGGTCTGCATCAGCTCCTGTTTGGATCTCTCCCTCCATTCTCTAACTCACCAGAATAGTCCTCCCCAGACATGGCATCCTGGGCTCTGCACTGCCCATAAGGCCATGCTCTTCCTTCTGGCGTCATAACCCTCTTACTGCAGCTTCGAGTCCCATCCTTTTTAGGCTGTCCGTATGCATGACCAGCCTCCTCTTAGATGCCCTGGTTTCACTTTCTTTCTGCTTCCTCCACATGCCCCAATCCCATGCATCCCCTGAGGCACATCTTAAGGGCTGTCCCATGACACACTCCTCCCTGATGCTCCCAGCCATAGGTTCTCTCTCTGCTCACACCCTTAGCCTATGTGTGCTTCATATGACACACATCACTTTGTGCCTTCTCCTGCAGTTATTTCTCCTAAGCAGTGAGACCCTCACAGGAAAGGGTCCAGCCTCATTCAGAAGAGTAATATCCAGAGAAGTTACTCAGTAAACACTTGTGGAAAGAATATAACACACCAATCACTTCTCACAAGTTTTATAAAGTCTCAGCTGTAGCAGGGCTGTGATGCAGGGACAAGGACCCCTATTTGAAAACCATTTAACCTTGTTTCACCTTTGCTTGGCCTGAGCTAGTAGCAACCCAACCTCACTGCACAGCAGCTTCGGCAGGGATAGCCCTCAGCTGATGCGTGCTTGCCTTTCTGTGGGACACACGGCCTCTCACCTTCTGCCGGTTTGCTTTGCTTGCAGTGGTTTCCAAGTCTGTGTCTTCGTCTGACGCCACACTGTCATAGTCGGGCTGGTCGTTGTCTTGACTCTCAATGCTGTGCTGGTTACTGATTGTTTTCAGTATGAGCTCCACATTTTCTAACAATAAAAGCAAATGACTTTACTTCAGGCTTAAAACAATGCTTTTCTTCCAAAAGACTACCAAAAGGATTTCACTGGTTTAACCATTTAAAGGACTTAAAGGACTTGAATGCTGTGGCTCTCTGCCTGTAATCCCAGCATTTTAGGAAGCCAAGGAGGACAACTGCTTGAGGCCAGGAGTTTGAAACATCCCAGGTAACACAATGAGACTCTATCCCTACAAAAAAAATTTTAATTTTAGCCAGGCCTGGTGGTACACGCCTATAGTCCCATCTACTAGCTACTTGGGAGGCTGAGACAGGAGGATCGCCTGAGCCCAGGAGATCGAGGCTGCAGTGAACCAGGATTGTACCACTGTACGCCAGCCTGGGCATCAGAGTGAGGCCCTGTCTCTAAAAGCAAAAACAAAGTAAACAAGGACTGAAAGAAAATGTTATATTCACCCCAATATAGAGGTAACAGAAAAAGTTTTTAACCAGGTGGACAGCTACATAGAGAGACTTCAGCATTCCTCTCATCTACCTGCCAACTATGGGCAAACTACACAAATGGATTAGGAAGAAACTGCTCAGATAAAGGAGGAAGGTTCCCAAGTTCTAGAGACAGAACCTAGCTTCAGGTCATGAAGATAAGGCTGTAGGTAATGGAAGATAAACTATAATTTGATTAATACCTGTAACATGTTTACAAGGTAATGTCAATCAAAACAGAAAGCAAATTGTTAAACTGGAGCCTAGAACTGAGGCACTCAAAGAATAGGAACATTGGCATTTAGTCAGTCACTTGCATCTCAGTGAAAGAGATAGAGGAGAATGAATCAAGCAAATACACATGTGCATGTGACAGGGAGTGTCTATTCCATAGGGGAGCAGGGATGATTCTACAGGCTGTAACACACTTTGAACAAAAGATTTCACAAACTATCCAAGTCTCCCTGATTTTTTTCAGGCAACTCAAACTAACCTCTAACTTCTAACACTGTTTCCCAGAGATGCTGAGGAAACAACAGATAGATGATACCTGAGTGATGAATTGTGGTTATTTCAAAGGAGTAGGTCCTAGCCTGGCACATCCCAGCACTTTGGGAGGCCAAGGCAGATGGATAACTTGAGGTCAGGAGTTTCAGACCAGCCTGGCCAACATGGCAAAACCTCATCTCTACTAAAAATACAAAATTTAGCCAGCATGGTGGTGTATATGTGTAATCTCAGTTACTTGGAAGGCTGAGGCAGGAGAATCGCTTGAACCTGGCAGGTGGAGGTTGCAGTGAGCCGAGATTGTGCCACTACACTCCAGCATGGGTGACAGAGTGAGAGTCCGTCTCAAAAAAAGAATAAAAATAAAAATTAAATAAATGATAGGTCCTATTTTAGCTTTCTAAATTAATATTTTAAAGCACATAAATATAATGATTACAGAAGTTATAGTCAACATATACAATTTAGAAACTAATGAACAAGTAAGATAATCACTTATAGCCATTGTTATTTGTTGATCTATTTCTTTCTAGTTTTTTTTTCTAAGCACTTATATCCATCCACACAGTCAACTTTTGTTATTCCTGGTAGTTACGTTCTACAAAGTTGCTGTGAACTGGCCAATATTAAATTGGTGCTCCCGGTGAAAATACAGAGTTAGGTTCCTAAGAGCCTCTGGTCACATTTTCATCAACTGATCAATACATAACCTTGTTATATGTGTGTTTCTGTTTAAAGACACCTTATTTAACACATATTATTGATTCATTAATATTGAACTCATGGCTAAAAGCACTATATAAGTCATGCCTGAATGATGCTTATTTAACAAACATTTTTCCATAGAGCACATCACAGCCTTCTTGCACTTAGAAACACAAGACGGAGCTTCAGCCCTATGCTTGGAGGCCACTTTTTTTTTTTTTTTTTGAGATGGAGTCTCAGTCTGTCGCCCAGGCTGGAGTACAGTGGCATGATCTTGGCTCACTGCAACCTCCACCTTCTGGGTTCAAGCAATTCTCCTACGTCAGCCTCCAGAGTAGCTGGGATTACAGGTGCATGCCACCATGCCCAGCTAATTTTTGTATTTTTAGCAGAGACAGAGTTTCACCATGTTGGCCAGGTTGGTCTCAAACTCTTGACCTCATGATCCACCTGCCTCGGCCTCCCAAAGTTCTGGAGCCACTGTGTCCGGACTTTTTCTTTTCTTTTTTCTTTTTTTTTTTTTTTAGACAGGGTCTCACTGTGTCACCCAAGCTGGAGTGCACTAGCATAATCATAGCTCACTATACTTTCTAACTCTTGGGCTGAAGTGATCCTCCTGCCTCAGCCTCCTGAGTATGTAGGACTATAGACATGTGCCAACACACCTAGGTAATTTTTAGATTTTCTGGTAAAGATGGGGCCTTGCTATGTTGTCCAGGCTTGGACACTTTTCAGTGTCACCCAGGCTAGAGTGCAGGCATGATCATGGCTCACTGCAGCCTCAACCTCCTGGGCTCAATAAATCCTGGGGCCATTTTTAAACAATGAAATCACCAATGAAAAGCACATAAATGTGAATAGCATGGCACTAAATAGACCACAGACACTTGCTTATAACATGAGTGCAGAAACAAGAAGTCAAGGAGTCTCCTCCCTGTTCAACCTCAGCTGGGAACATGTGTTTTGGTGACTCAATTTTCTCTCTGCTCTGTACATTTCTTAGAATGACCTTGAAAATGCTGTATTAATTTTGAGGTTACAAATAAATTTTAGGAAGCAGATGAATTTGCAAACATGGAATGTGCACATAAGGATCAATTGTATATTTATACTTACATGTGGTATCCTCACTTGTACACATATATTTACATAAATATGTTTTCCATACAAAATTGGGGTTATACAAAACCTTTTAAAAACTTTATTACGAGGCTGGGCACAGCACCTCACACCTGGAATCCCAGCACTTTGGGAGGCTGAGGCAGGCAGATCACCTGAGGTTGGGAGTTTGAGACCAGCCTGATCAAATGAAGAAACCCCATCTCTACTAAAAATACAAAGTTAGTTGGGCGTGGTGGTGCACACCTGAAATCCCAGCTACTTGGGAGGCTGAGGCGAGAGAATTGTTTGAACCCAGGAGGCGGAGGTTGTGGTGAGCCAAGATTGAGCCATTGTACTCCAGCCTGGGCAACAAGAGCAAAACTTCGTCTCAAAAACAAAACAAAACAACTTTATTATTTGGTCTCCCGGGGATGTCCAGGCACGGTGGCTCATGCCTGTAATCTTGGCCAGGCACGGTGGCTCATGCCTGTAATCTCAGCACTTTGGGAGGCCAAGGCAGGCAGATCACTTGAGGCCAGGAATTCGAGAATTGCCTGGCCAACATGGAGAAACCCTATCTCTACTAAAAAGTACAAAAATTAGCTGGGTGTGGTGGTACACACCTGTAATACCAGCTACTCAGGAGGCTGAGGCACAAGAATCACTTGAGTCTGGGTGGCAGAGGTTGCAGTGGGCCAAGATCATGCCACTGCACCCCAACCTGGGTGACAGAGTGAGACTCTGTCTCAAAAAAAAAAAAAAATCAAACTTTATTACTTTATCTCATATAATTACTATTATAGTATAAATGTTTGTTCCCTCCAAATCTTATGTTGAAATGTGATCCTCAACGTTGGAGGGGAGGCCTAAAGAGAGGTGTTTGGGTCATGGGGGTGGATCCTTCATAATGTCCCTCCCTTGGTAGTGAGCATAAGCCACCGCACCCAGGCCATTTAAGACTTTAAACTTATGCAAAGACTCTTTTCTCTGTGCCTTCACCAAAATCTAATAAACCTTTTCAGAACTTCTTGATTCCTGGTTGAACAGATAAAATCAAATTCCTGAATAGGCAAGAAGAACGAATGAGTTGTTGTCAGTTAATGATTATTGTCTTTGGAGAATGTGATACTGACTGAAAACTTAATTTTTATGGTACATATTGCTTTTGCTTAAATGACTTACAATGAAAAATATCTAATTTCTATAATTAGAAAAAACCAGTAACAGGGCTGAGGAGGAAGGACATTCCTAAGCATGCAGACAGGACGTGGGCTACTGAACTAGACTCAACAGGGCGCCTGTGAAACAGATGTTCAGGGCTCTCCTTATAATTGTATATCACAGTAATTCTCACTGAAGATACTTAAAAGTTTATGACAACAAATTTTAATTATGTTGAACTCAGTTTTGTAGGTAAGCAACAGCAGATATTATACGGTTTCAATCCAGAAGAGTTTATTTTCTTATGTCCTTTAACAAGATCTAAGTCAGACTTTTGGGCTAATTTCAGGATGCAATTTTACAGGAAAGGTAAATTACCCAAAATAAAACAGAAATCATATATAAGATAAATATGAGTAGCAGTTAGTAACTCTGAAATATTGTTAATTCACCAGGGCTCAGACAGATAAACTATTTATCACAATATGCTACCAATACAACTTATAGGGGTAGGGGCTGAAGGGAGGGAACCTAGAGGACAGGTCATAGGTGCAGCAAACCACCATGGCACATGTATACCTATGTAACAAGCCTGCACATTCTGCACATGTATCCTGGAACTTAAAAAAAAAAACAAAAAAACAAAAACTTATAGAACTTTAAGCTGTCATGTTGATGACTGATTAGCTTACAACTTTAAATTTAAACACTTGAGTCCAATTTAGAGGGCCAAAAATGCAAATGTTTAGAGGTTTGAGCAGTTACCTTTTGAACCCGAGAGAGAACTGCCCTGCTGTCTCCTCTTGGCGTCACTGAGAATGTCAATGACCAGTGTGGCGAACTCATGGGCGTTGAACCGAGCTAACTTCTGTCTGCCCTAAAGGTGGGAAAATAATTGGAAATATTTCCCAGTGTAAAAATATATACATAAATAGTCACATAAAACTAGTCAGACTATTGACAGACTTCTGCAAAGAACTTCTTCTGGCATAATCAAAGTACAATTAATCCCAGCCATAATCAAACCAAGTCAATGCTTGTTTTCCATGTGAACAGTTTAAAACCATTTAATATAAGAGAACTCCATAACACTTAAGTTCTCATGATGCATATCTATTTTGGTAAGCAAAAATAAAATGGTTCTACTGAATGCTTTTCTTCTATTATGGATTCAGTTTGGAAGTAGACCCAGTAATGAGAAATTAATTTTGAGGGGAATTTTTAAATTAATTTTGAGGGTACAGTGGCTCATGCCTATAATCCAAGCACTTTGGGAGGCTGAGGCGGGAGGATCACTTGAGGTCAGGAGTTTGTACACAAATTAGCCAGGCATGGTGATGGGTGCCTGTAATCCCAGCTACTCAGGGAGGGTGAGGCAGGAGAATAACTTGGGTCCAGGAGGCAGAAGTTGCAGTGAGCGGGGATGGCACCACTGCACTCTAGCCTGGATGACAGAGCAAGACTCCATCTCAAAAAAAATTTTTTTTAAGTTAAACAAAGTCATAGTCTAGATTTGGGTACCCTATCCTTATATATAGCCACTAATCATAAAGACTAAAATATCTTCCTAATGCACTCAACATTTCTCCTCTTGATGGAGGTGTAGGCTGTTTTTAATGCTCTGTTATTATATATAGCAGTGCATTGATGAAAATCACTGTGCATAAATCTATTTTTATTTTATTAGAGCTATTCTTAAATAAGAAATTCCCATGTAAAAGGATGTACTTAATTTTGAGGCTTCCGAAACTGGAAAACAAATTGTTTTTCTAACATCTACAGCAATTTAAAGTCCTATCTGTTGCAAGAGAAAGCCCATCTTACCATATCCTTACCAGCTTAGAGTATCCTTTATTATAGATTTTATTAATCTGACTTATAAAACTTGTACTAATGCCTTTAGGTTGCTTTCTTAGATCACTGCCAAAGTTAAACATTTATTTACATTTGTAAACCATTTATATTTCTTCTGTGAATTGTTTTATATTCTTTCCCAGTCATTTATTTATATTCTATTGTTTTCTTATCATTTTGGGGGTTGTGTGTGTGTGTATATGCATAAAGGATATTACATTTTAATCAATCAAAAAATTTAGAATACTTGTCCCGGGAATATGAAGTATCATGACATCAGCCACTCCCCAACTACTATTCCTAGTCACTTTCCAAACTAAGCCACTTGCCTGGTTTCGTGTTGATGAGTACTCAGGATTGACCGGAAGAAAGGGGACGACCGTTGTCTCAGTTACCAGGGCGCTGTGGTTTTGTGTGGCAAGCCAGACTAGCCAGAGGAAAGAACCAGAGACAAACCTCATCACACCTATGTGCCGCTGCTCCTGGGAGGTATAGCTCACACATTACAAGGGGAAACACACTCTGAAGCCAACACATGCAAAGGCAAACGCTGACACTTGCACCATCAGGACAGCAGAAATTGGGCTAGTAAAACACTGAGGCTGGCAGCCTTTCACTGCCCACTGATAACAGAAGCTTATTAGATAAAGCCACGTCAAGTCACCTGCATCCGTCTCTCGCCTGTCAACTTCATCGTACACATCCATGGCAAGTTCTTCAAACAAATGATTACTTAGCTGAAAGTAAAAAATATCAGGAACACAAGGGACAACAATTAACACCAGGAGGACAAGAGGTAACTGTGACTTAGTCACCCCTTTATTGCCTACATCTTATCCAAAGCCAGCACTTGGTACATACCCACTGTTAAAGTGACATAACATTTTCAAAATCACAGAGCCTCTAGAAATGTCTGCCAACCATAGCAATCTCACTACTTTATGACACAGGGCTGCTGCTATTTAGGAGCTAAGCGGCATCTAAAGTGCATCATTTCAGAAGCAGGTTCCAGTTCTCTACTCTTCTTGTATTATCTCCCTGTAAGCCTCCTTCTGCACTTAACGAGTGTTTGTCAGTTCCCCAAAGTGTAATGGATTATATACCCTTGCAAAACAGCCAGGATCAGTAGTGCAGACCTGTAATCCTATCACTTTGGGAGGCTTCAGCAGGCGGATTGCTTAAGCCCAGGAGTTGAGACCAGCCTGGGCAACATGGTGAAAACCCGTCACTACGAAAAATACAAAAATTAGCTAGGCGTGGTGGTGCATGCTTGTAATGCCAGCTATTCAGGAGGCTGAGGCGGGAGTATCACTTTAGCCCAGAAGGTTAAGATAGGTGGATCACCTGAGGTCAGGAGTTCGAGACTAGTCTGGCCAACATGGTGAAACCCTGTCTCTACTAAAAACACAAAAACTAGAGGGGTGTGGTGGCGCATGCCTGTAATCCCAGCTACTCAGGAGGCTGAGGCCGAATTGCTTGAACCCGGGAGGCGGAGGTTGCACTGAGCTGAGCTTGTGCCACTGTATTCCAGGCTGGGTGACAGAGTGAGACCCCATCTCAAAAAAAGAAAAAAAGAAAAAGAAAAAGTGAAAAACATGCTGTTTGAAAAGGATAAAATGTGCCTGTGCACAAAAACATGACCCAGACCTCAGCTGAGTTTCTTTGCTCTCTTTCTCAGTAGCAGTCCTACTGCTTAATCTTCAGAAGGAAGCTTCCTAACAAAGCACAGTCTGACTCTTTAGCACACAACCACCACCTCAAGGCCTGCAGTGCCTCCCTTGGCACATGGAGGATAATCGAGGTCTTCCTGGTGCCAATGAGGCTGAGCCCCTGCTGGGGTGGCTCCGGCTCTCTCTGCACTTTTCTGCCTCATGAAACACCTTGACACATGGTAGCTGTGATTCTTAAACTGACTCACATCTGCTTTGGAAGGGCAGATGCAGAATCTATTCCATTCTCTGTTGGGTTCCTTACATCTACACATGATACCTCACAATTTAAGAGGGGCCAGAAAAGAGGCACTGACTGGCCAGAAGGTATTTATTTAATGCAGCAATTTAAAATGCTGGCTACAGGCTGGGTGTGGTGGCTCATGCTATAATCCCAACACTTTGGGAGGCAGAGACAGGAAGATCACTGGAGCCTGGGAGTTCAAGGCTGCAGTGAAGCAGTGAACTGTGATGGCACCACTGCACTCCAGCCTGGGTGACAGAAAGAGACTTTGTCTCAAAAAAAAAAAAAAAAGAAAAACAAAACAAGTGCTGGTTACAGATAACTCATAGGAACATGTTAAAACAGGTAAAATTTATTATCACTGAGTGATAAAAGCAGGTTATAAATGTCTATAATTATAATTGAGCTCTAGATTTTAAAAAAGATATGCATATAAAATAAGAACTGAAAGAAATATACCAAAATATTGAGCCTGACTCCATTAAGAGCATAGCAATTGAGGATGGTCCCCATCTTGCCCCACTTCTCCATTTTCCAAATCTTCCCAAATGTGGTTGCACTATAATTAAAAACAAACCCCAGGGGCCTGTTGCTAGATAAGATGATGAAGGATTGGGAGCTTGAACTTGCTTCATAAATATCCAGTTTTTTCCTCTATGAGACTACAAGCTAATGTTATTATTACTAGCAACAACTACAATGGCCAATTGCTGATTAAGGGCTTACATCCCAGGCACTGTGCTAACAGTGTTGTATTTCATACTTATAACACCTCTATGAAAACAGGAACCACTATTGTCCCATTTTGCAGACAAGGAAACTAAGGCAGAGAAGATAGTAGCTTGCCTAAAGTCCCAAAGCTAGGAAGTGATGGACCTGAGATACAAGTTTACGTCTTTCAAAATGCTAACATTAGGCCGGGCTCGGTGGCTCACGCCTGTAATCCTAGCACTTTGGGAGGCCGAGGTGGGTGGATCACCTGAGGTCAGGAGTTCAAGACCAGCCTGGCCATCACAGTGAAACCCCATCTTAAAAAAAAAAAAATGCTAACATTTACTCATTCAAGGAATACATTAGCTTTTATTATATTTCTCTCAGCTTTTCATCAGGAGGGAGGAAGGAAAAGAGAAAGGAAAGAAAGGATGGAGGGAGGAAGAGAGGGAGGGACAGGAGAAAGACAATGGAGGATAAACATTGACCTGGCACTGATAACACAGTCACCTGTGAGAAGGAGACCACAGGGTGAGGGTCAACAAGTAATGGTGGCAGCCCACCCTGAGCAATTCTGGTCAGCAGCCCGTGCAGCATCCTTATCTCCCTTTTCTATAAGAGGATACCAAGGCACAGGGAGGCTAGGAAGCTTGGCAGGGCCGAGATACCTACTGACCAGTCTGACCCAGAGCCCCAGCTCTTTAGAGCTACACAGACTGTGTTCCAGGTCTTATTTCATGCCCACCACATAGCAGAGATATTACAAGCATAATCTCAGCTTTCATGCAGCTTCCAGTGAAGCAAATGTAGGATAGTCAAAGAAAACGTGGGTTTTTATCTAGATTTAAATTATTTATAATAAAATTTACTTATAGATTGTGAGTAATTAAAAGGAAATCACACAATATTTAGTGCTATCTGACTTCAAAGCTTATCATCTTGATCATCTTAGTCTACTACTTTCTTAAGGCAATAAAACACACTGACACAAAATTGTAGATACAGAACACAGAGACACCAAACAAATTGCATAAAACACATTTATTTCATAATACAGTTAAATACTAGTAAGGATAAATTCATTTTATGTAATATTTAATACCATTATATGAAGTTTTGGTAAAAAGAATTCTGTGAAAACAGAAATGAGGAGAAAGTCATAAATGAGGGAACCTGCAATGTAAGTCAGGTTTTGGGAAAGCCACTACCTACACACAGATTTCAGGTCCTTGAATGATCAGAGGGATGAAAGCTGGGAAACACAAACACTGCAGGCAAAGGAAGATTCCTGGAAGAGGACATAAATGTGCAGCTCATGGCCTCAGAGTGTGTTAATACACACACACACACACACACACGCACGGAATACAGAGCGTGTTAATCCACAAACACACACACACGGAATAGAGAGGGTGTTAATACACACACACATACACACACACACGGAACCAGATGGGAAGTAGGGCAATCTTTGAAAGGTGAGAGTTGAACGATGCCCCTACAGATTACAAAAAGAAGTTAAGGATCTTGGTTCTGCTCCAAAGAGCAATGGGAACAGCTGAGGAGTGTAGTTTGGTGGTTAAGGTGGTGAGAAGTACCCTGGTGAGGCTTCATGTGAGAGGACCAGACAAAGAGAAGTCAATCCCACAGAAATAGATTTCCCAGGGCCTTGGCTGGGGCTGAGGTGGACAATCTAGAAAAAATACATAGGCTGAAGGGAGGCCATGGCCTGCAGAGCCAGCAAACTCTCAGCACACATGTGGGCCAAGACCACCAGCTTTTAACAGCAGAAATTTAAAAAGCGCTGATGAATGGCATGGGATGGGAAAGACGGTTACAGTGTGGCTGGATCCAAATGGCAGCGAGTGAATCTATGGGACTCATTCCAGTATCAGCATTTACCACACTCTAGAACCCTACGTGGCTAAGGGAAGTCACCCCAAGAACGTGTGCCCTACTTACTCATAACACTGAGAAGAACTAGGGAACTCTCCTGAGGAGAAAAACTGCCTAATGCTAAAGGTGCCGTCTGCACTTCTCATATGACAGAGAAAAATGAGATTATCTGAAGCAGAGCTGATGAATTGAACATACTGAACTTAGAAGTCCTTGTGGTCGTCACTGCTGTATACTCAGTCGTCTGCTTCTAATTTCACAAATAAAAGTATGAAATAAAGTCATCAGACGCAATAGGTAACCTGCACTGAGAATAGGTATCAGCAGGGTGCACTGATTCTCATACTGGAGAAAACCAGTACAGAGAGGTACTCACAGACTGAAGTTTCTTCTTAGCAGCTTTTGCCAATTCAGACAAATCCAGGCTGCTGGGAAAATATACAAAGCTAATAAGCAAATAAATAAAGCCAGGTTTGTGAACTCTGTAAAAGTTTTAAAACACTCAAGAAATAAAAATATTAATTACAGTTCATGGACCATGTTAGAACCAAGCATTCTACAGCCTGACAGAGTCAGTGAGAAGCTCTAAACAGAACAATCTGGTGAAAGTAACTCCTTCTAGTAATACCACAATCATATAAATGTTAAAGAGAAAAAAAATTGTCCACCAACTAAACAACAAAAGCTATTGCCAAGTTACCTTCCAGGCACTTATGTGAGGAGTCACAATTTTTGAAGTATTTAAAAAAAAAAAAAAAGCATGATATAAGAAAATATGCTGGGTGTGATGGCTCATGCCTGTAATCCCAGCACTTTGGGAGGTAGAGGCAGGCTGATCATGAGGTCAGGGGTTTGAGACCAGCCTGGTCAACATGGTGAAACCCCATCTCTACTAAAAATACAAAAATTAGTTGGGTGTTGTGGCATGCGCCTGTAGTCCCAGCTACTCCAGAGGCTGAGGCAGGAGAATCGCTTGAACCCAGGAGGCAGAGGTTGCACTGAGCCTAGACTGCACAGTGGCACTCCAGCCTGGGCGACAGAGCAAGACTCTGTCTCAAAAAAAGAAAAGAAAATACAAGGCCAGGTGCAGTGGCTTACACCTGTACGAGCACTTTGGGAGGCCAAGGCAGGTGGACTAATTGAGCCCAGGAGTCTGAGACCAGCCTGGGTAACATAGCAATAACCTGTCTCTACCAAAGCAAAAAAACAAAAAGGGAAGATATAAAAGACCGGGATGGCAAGATTACATCTGGCATAGCAGTTAGTCATTTCAAACCTTTTGACAGTTTCTGTGCAAAGGTAACTTGCAAAATAAAGGTTTAAGGTTCATTCCTGTAGCAATGAACTCATCTTCTCTTATAGACCAGGGGTCAGTAAATTATGGCTTTCTTTTTGTTCAGTTGAGCTAGGAATGGTTTTTACATTTTAAAATGATTGAGGGGCAAAAAGAAAGAATAATATTTCATAACATGAAAATTATGTGAAATTCAAATTTCAGTGACCAGAAATAAAATTTTATTGGAATACACACACACACCCGTTCATCTACAGTGTCCACAGATGCTTTCATCTACAACAGCAAAGTTAAGCTGTTGCAAAAGAGGCCATATTGCCCACAAAGCCTAAAATTTTTATTATTTGGCCCCTGAGAAGAAAAGTTTGCCAACCCCTGTCATAGATAAAGAATATAATCTACATTGGAACCAAATCATTTTCTATGTGCAAAAAAAAAGAAAAAAGAAAGAATATAATCTATAATACAGAAGTATTCTGTAAATATAATCTATAGACACATAAATACTGTCACAACTGGCTAAAACAGTGACAGTATCACTGGCTTCAATTTTCCTATTAGTCAAATTGCTACTTGTGCACTTTGAAACTTAAGTTTTATATGGTGGTTTACTTACAGACGTCTTATTTCCAAATGGTATAGCCATAAAAGAGAAAAATGTATGGGCTTTGTTAAACACAAAATATAATATACTTAAACACAATATAGCCAAGGAAATATTAGCGATACACAAAACCAACTGCTATTTCAAGGGTCTTACCTGTCTGCCATTTGAGGTATTATAAAGTGCTGTCCATTTTTGTGATCTGAAACAGAAACCAAGTCAAAGTTTTGTTCACAGAAATGTTAAGATCTGTAAAGGAACATCACCATTATTTTCTCAAACTAAGTTTTACAATTAGTATTTTTGTATAATTACGAGTCACGTGGGAGAAAACAAGCTGCTAGACTGGCTACACATTCCTGAAGACCCACCCAGTAGCAAGACTCATAGCCTTGTTTCTTTCTGGTACAAAGGTCCAGGCATCATTTAGCAGAAACCTGTGCTCACCCCAATCCTTAAGATTAGTTTGCCCTCAGTGTAACTGATGATCTTTGGTCATGGAAAGTGTGCTGAGGGAGCTGAATCAGCTCAGAGCAGGCTTTCATCAGCCCACTGTGTGGGACAGTGGATGAACTCTGGGCCTCGCTCAAATGAATCTATTAGTATGAAACAGTCAGGGCTGGGGCAGGTGGCCTTCGCAGATCCAGAAAGGAACTCCATCTGCAAGGAAGCTTACTGACTCAGCCCTAATCTAGCTTCTGGAGGACACTGATCCATGTGCCAATGAATAAAGCCATGATCAGCATTCCTATGTAGGTTTTTCTGTCAACATAAGTCTATCTTTATTCTGGGTAAAAAACCCAGGAGTAGAAATGCTGGTTGCATAATAAATGTATCTTTAACTTGGTAAGAAATTGCCGGACTTTTTCCCTCGAGCAGCACTATCACTTTGTTTTCCAAATGGCAATGTGTGAGAGTTATAGTTGCTTCCTGTCTTCCCTAGAACCTGTACTGTCAGTTTTGGTTTTGTTTTTGAAAGTTTAATCATTCTAACAGGTATGCTGTGACATCTCATTGTGCTAATGACTAATCACGCTATGCTTGTCTTCATGTGATTTTTTTTTTTTTTTTTGCCATCCCATATCTTGTCTTTGCCCAGTTTTCATTGGGCTGTTTTCTTACTGCTGAGTTTTAATTTTAATATTTATTTATTTATTTATTGACAGAGTCTCACTCTGTCCCCCACAGCTAGAGTGCAGTGGTGTGGATCTCCGCTCACTGGTAACCTTCACCTCTTGGGTTCAAGCGATTCTCACGTCTCAGGCACCCAAGTAGTTGCAACTACAGGTGTGCATTGTTACCCCCAGCTAATTTTTTTATATTTTTAGTAGAAACAGGGTTTTGCCATGTTGCCCAGGATGGTCTCAAACTTCTAGGCTCAAGTAATCCACCTACCTAGGCCTTCCGAAGTGCTGAGATTACAGGTGTAAGCCATCATACCCAGCCTGAATTTTTAAAATTCTTTAAATATTCTGAATATGAGTCATTTGCTGGATATGTGATGTCCAAATACCTGTATTTTCTCAGTCTGCATCTGGTCTTTTCACTTTCTTAACTGTAGTTTTCTCAGAACAAAAATGTTTCTTTTTTTTTTTTGAGATGGAGTTTCACTCTTGTTGCATAGGCTAGAGTGCAATGGTGCAATCTCAGCTCGCTGCAACCTCTGCCTCCCAGGTTCAAGCGATTCTCTTGCCTCAGCCTCTCAAATAGCTGGGATTACAGGCATGCACCACCATGCCAGGTTAACTTTTTGTATATCGTAGAGACAGGGTTTCACCATGTTGGTCAGGCTGGTCTTGAACTCCTGACCTCAGGTGATCCACCCACCTTGGCCTCCCAAAGTGCTGGGATTTCAAGTGTGAGCCACTGCACCTGGCCAAATATTTTCAATTTTGATGCAGTATAATTTATCAATATTTTCTTTTATGGATTCTGCTTTTGGTGTCACATCTAAGAGTTTTTGGGGTTTTTTTTCCCCTTGCAGAAGCAAGGTCTTGCTCTGTTGCCCAGGCTGCAGTGCAGTGGTGAGGTCATAGCTCACTGCAGCCTTGACTTTGTGGGCTCAAGTGATCCTCCTACCTCGGCCTCTGAAAGTGCTAGGATTACAGGCATGAGCCACCATACTCAGCTGATAGCTAAAAGCTTTATTAATCCAAGACCACAAAGATTTTCTCTTATGCTTTCTTTTCTTTTTCTTTTTTATTTGAGACAGAGTCTCGCTCTGTCACCCAGGCTGGAGTGCAGTGGTGTGATCTTGGCTCACTGTAACCTCCCTGTTTCGGGTTCAAGTGATTCTCTTGCCTTAGCCTCGTGAGTAGCTGGGACTATAGGCATGCACCACTACACCTGGCTAATTTTTTTTATTTTTAGTAGAAATGGGGTTTTACTATGTTGGCCAGGCTGGTCTCAAACTCCTGACCTCAGGTGATCCACCCACCTCAGCCTCCCAGAGTGCTGGGATTAAAGGTGTGAGCCACCATGCCTAGCCCTCTTATGTTTTCTTCTAGAAGTTTTACAGTGTCAGGTTTTACATTTGGATCTATGATCCTTTCTAGTTTTTGGGTGTGAGGTTTAGGTTGAAGTTCGCTTTCCTGCACATGGATGTCCAGTTGTCCCAATGCATTAAAAAGACAATCCTTTCTCCACTGAACTGATTACCACCTTTGCACTTTGGACAAAAACAAATTGAACATATTTGTGTGGGTGTATCTCTGGATTCTCTATATTGTTTCAATGACTTAAATGTCTATCTCTTCATCGGTATCACAGTCTTGAGAACTGTAGAGTTTCATAGCAAGTCCGAAAAATTGGGTGGTATACTTCCTCCCACATTATTCTCCTGCAAAATTGTCTTGGCTATTCTAGTTCCTTCACATTTCCATTTGAATTTTAAATTATTATTATTATTAATATATTTGGAGATTGGGTCTTACTCTGTCGCCCAGGCTAGAGGGCAGTGGCACGATCATGGCTCACTGCAGCCTCAACCTCTCAGGCTCAGGTGATCTTCCCACCTCAGCCTCCTGAGTGGGTAAGACTCCAGGCATGTACCACCACACATGGCTAATTTATTATTTGTAGAGACGAGGTCTTGCCATCCCGTCCAGGCTAGTCTCGAACTCCTGGGCTCAAGTGGTCTTCCTGGCTTGGCCCCCAAAGTGCTAGGATTACAGGCATAGGCCACTATACCTATCTTCATTTGAATTTTAGAATCAGTATGTCTATGTCTATGAAAAATCCTCAATTCAAGTAAATTTATACGTTTATTAATTTGTGGAGAATAAACATGTTACTGAGTCTTCCTATCAATAAACACAGTATATCTCTCCACTTATTCAGGTCTTCATTAATTTCTTTCATCAGCAGTTTTTGGCATATAGATCCTACATGTATTGTGTATTTCATTAGATTTATACCTAAGTATTTAATTTTGAGGGTTTTGTTTTTCTTTTTTTTGAGATGGAGTCTCACTCTGTCACTCAGCCTGGAATGCAATGACGAGATCTCAGGCTCACTGCAACCTCCGCCTCCCAGGTTCAAGCAATTCTCCTGACTCAGTCTCCCAAGTAGCTGGGACTACAGGCACCTGCCACCATGACCAGCTAATTTTTATACGTTTAGTAGAGACAGGGCTTCCCCATGATGGCCAGGCTGGTATTGAACTCCTGAACTCAAATGATCCACCCCCTTCAGCCTCCCAAAGTGCTGAGATTATAGATGTGAGCCATCATGCCTGGCCAATTTGGAGCTTTTCTTAGTGGTATTGTTTTTCTAGATTCAGTTTCCAATTGTTCACTGTTATTCTAAAGAAATATGATGGATTTTTGGCCAGGCGCAGTGGCTCATGCCTATAATCCCAACACTTTGGGAGGCTGGTGGATCACCTGAGGTCAGGAGTTCAAGACCAGCCTGGCCAACATGGAGAAACCCCATCTCTACTAAAAATACAAAAAAATTAGCCAGGTGTGGTGGCACAGGCCTGTAATCCCAGCTACTGAGGAGGCTGAGGCAGGAGAATTTCTTGAACTCAGGAGGCAGAGGTTGCAGTGAGCCGAGATCACACCACTGCACTCCAGCCTGGGCGACAGAGTGAGACTGTCTCAAAAAAACTAAAAAGTTGTATTTTTGGCTGTTGACCATATTCCTGCAATCTTGTTTAACGAAAGGTTCTGGAAACCTTTCTGTAGGTTACTTGTGATTTTCTGCATAGAAATCAACTCATTTAAATGGGGACAGTTTGAATTCTTCCTTTTCAATCTATATGCCTTTTATTTATTTTTCTTGCCTCTTGGCACTGGTTTCAGTGTGATGTAGAAGAGGAATGGTAAGAGTAGACACCCTAGTCTTTCTCCCAATCTGAGAGTAAACACAGTCTTTCATCATTAAATAGATACTCTATTTCAGGTCAAGAAAGTCTCATCTATTTCTAGTTTGCTAAGATTTTTTAAAAACTGAATGAATGAGGATGCCCTCTCTCACCACTCCTATTCAATATAGTACTGGAAGTTCTAGCAAGAGCAATCAGGCAAGAAAAAGAAATAAAGGGTATTCAAATAGGAAAGGTGGAAGCCAAATTGTCTCTATTTGCAGACGACATGATAGTATACCTAGAAGACCCCATCGCCTCAGTCCAAAAACTCCTGAAACTGATAAGCAACTTCAGCAAAGTCTCAGGATATAAAATCAATGTGCAAAAATCACAAGCATTCGTCTACACCAACAACAGACTTAAAGAAAGCCAAATCAAGAACGATATGCCATTCACAATTGCTACAAAAAGAATAAAATACCTTGGAATACAACTCACAAGGAACGTAAGAGACCTCTACAAGGAGAACTACAAACCACTGCTCAACGAAATCAGAGAGGACACAAACAGATGGAGAAACATTCCATGTTCATGGTTAGGAAGAATTAATATCGTGAAAATGGCTATACTGCCCAAAGTAATTTACAGAATCAACGCTATCCCCATCAAGCTACCATTGACTTTCTTCACAGAACTGGAAAAAACCACCATGAACTTCATATGGAACCAAAAGAGAGCCCGCATAGCCAAGTCAATTCTAAGCAAAAAGAACACAGTGGGGGGCATCACACTACCGGATTTCAAACTATACTACAAGGCTACAGTAATCAAAACAGCATGGTACTGGTACCAAAACAGAGATATAGACCAATGGAACAAAACAGAGGCACCGG